GACCTACCTTTTTTGGTTCCTTTGTGCGAGGAGATAGGGTAGGTTCAGGAGGATTCAGATGTCATTCTAGGGTCACAGTTTCGACATTTTTGGTATTAAAGGGGCGATTGAATTAATCAGTTGTAAATTTGACAAAATTTTGTATATACGTCTATAAGCAAATGTACCAAATTTTCAAAATTTTATATAAGGTACTCTAGATGCAAAAAATCGTGAAAAATAAAGGAGTACACAAAATTGCTTCCATTCCTACTAAGAACTACCACCAGCAATATTTAACTGCGATAAGTGAATTGGTTGAGAGGTTGCGTCTTGTAGGGTCACCCATTGATGGCACTCCCTTCCATAACGTATGGATAAGGAGATGAGACTCGAGGGGACACAGAGCACCGCCTAAATTGTTATACCTCTGGCACCCTTCGAATCTCATCACATTAACCTACCACTACAGCTATGTAATTCGATGTTATCAAAGTGCTGGAAGTAGTATTCTAATCCATTTTCTCTATTAACTATTTTTCCTTTAGGGGTAGTTACTTATAGCCTGACCAGAGTATTAGAATAGTAAGCTTAGAAGTCGTCATTTTGATCCTAATTTGCACCCGCATCTTCGTAAACTCTTGTCGAGTAGCCAGTAAATTTTCTGATCTTCATTCGTATCTGCCATCTCTTTAGAATTTTGTCGCGTAGAGCCAGTCAATTTTCTGATCTCCATTCGTCATCTCTGCAGAGTCTCGTCGAGTTGCCAGTATATTTTCTGACCCTTATTTGCCTCTGCCATCTCTTTAGAATCTCATCGTGTGGCCAGTAAATGTTCTGTATTTCCACCCACCGTCTCTGTAATCTCATCGTGGAATTACTAAGTTTTCTGATTTTCATTTCCATTTCCCAGCCCCTTAAACGCTTTTCGAGTAACCACTAAATTCTTTCATCTCCCCTCCCTGTAAAGTCTTCTCGAGTAATCGCTAAATTTTTCGTCCCTTCCGTCGAACCCGACGTGTCCCTTTTCGAAGAGATCGATAGGCAAATAGTCCTTCATCGTCGATACACGCTGATTTCGTGAATGCATCGTTCGCATTCCTCGTCGAGTAGAATTACGGCAGCCCTGGGAAACGTTGTTCGATTGGTTCCTCGATGCGAGGAGGAACGGTACTCGTTGGTCCAACGGATCTCGCTCGAGGGTCACAGTTTAGACATCGAACGATAATATTATAGCTTATTGAAATTTGCATAGGCGCTCGGTTGGCCAATAGCTGGGGCGTACCACTATAATCCTGGATAAATTCCAACGTGGCGTTTCTGTTGGCCGCACGTGAGCACTCGATGCAGGCCCGAAATATTAAAGTAGGCCGGTAGAAAACGGATAGGATCGCGCAAAATTATCCGCTGGTTAGCCGATTCGCCGCTTCTGCGCTCGTTCGCGTTAACGTGTTAATAATTTGCGAGTTGAAAACAAGCGGGTGGAGATCTCGCGTTATACCACGGGGGGGGGTGCTTGGCTACAGGTGGGCACCATTTCAGAGGGCGATTCTGCGGGACAAAGTTAGACGAAAATCGAGAACTGCGAAATAGAGTTTGAGGGCTTCGTAATTCAGTTATTTTGATGCTGAAGCGTGGAGGACTTTATCTACTTAAAGCGTGTTTATTAGGTGTTCGAATTAATACTGTGCCTTTATATTCAACTAATCTGCGTTAAATTAGCTTCTAAGCTCTCAACGTGATCTCCGTTGTATATAAGTTTCAATCTGATGGGAATTACAATTTATCTGCACGTATATTCGAAGATCAAAGTTCTTTTAATGGATTATATTAGTGTACTTGACAATTATTAGCTGTAGAAATTAATTCTCTGTGTTCCCATTTAATTATTTGTAACTATAGTTGACCCTCCATTTGATTACACTCAACCATGAACATCCATAACAGTGAAACACACATCTGGCATTGCTGGCTATCTACTTGCAATGCTCATTTTCTAGGAAGCAAACAGAGCCTTTAATATACCTTTAATATGCGTAATAGTATGCACGAGTTAACGTTAGCTTACATTAATATAAATTAACCCTCTTACTTCCATTTTAAATTGTAAATTCATCGCAGTGTTATCGACGAAGTCAAACAGACCAATAAACATCCACTCGAGGTAAAAACACCTAGGAACAATATTATCCGTTCGGAATATTGAAAAACTCATCGGAAACAACAAGCACGGTTCAGACAGTCAACAAACTGCATAAAAACATATACAGTGGATATAGAAAGTATTCGTACACCGATCAATTTCCAAAAAAAAACTATGTGAAATTGTGATTTATTAACTTTTTTCTTATAAACAATGATATTCTACATATTCCTGGAAATCTCTAGGATAGATACAGTACGAAAAAATTAGTTATTTTGTATATAAGTGAGAAATCAACAAGAAAAAACAATAAATCGATGGAAATGCAGAAGCAATAAGTATTCGTACAAGTGTTAAAATTTTAAAACTTTGTTTAAAAAAAAAAAACGAAATTTACATTAATTTATAAGTAATTAATACTTCGTGAGATTTCCTTTTAATTTTCTAATTACTGCATCATAAATGTCGATGTTATTCGGGGTGGGATCTTCTTTCATTCCTTTATTAGAGCATTTTTTAAGCCTTTTTTACTGGAAATTTAATGTTTTCTAATTGCCACGAAGCAATACACTGATGTGCTTATGTTACAAACTCTACTATAAATTGTTCGTCACGAGAACGGGTGCGAATTGCTTCTATATTTCTACCAATTTTCCTAGTTTCTTGTTAATTTCGCGAATTATGTAAACTAGTAATTGTCGTTTGAACTATATTCTAGAGATTTCCGAGAATATATAGAATATCATTGATTATAAAAAAAGGAGTCAATAAACTTTAATTCCACACAAATGTTTTTTGGGAAATTAATAGATGTACGAATACATTCTACACCCACTGTATGTTATTGCCCCTAAACGCGAAAAATAATCGTTTCCACCAACGGTGGGTGAACCCTCCTGCGGGGGTGGGCAATTTCGCCACGTCTTGTTGCCAAATGCTCCGTAAACGATACGCGGAGCCCCGTTTCATGCAGATCACGTACGTTATTCATGATACACTTCCACGTTTATACTAGTATATCCGAGATTTCGCGGATCCGACACGAAGCCAACAAATAATATACTATTCCGTCAGTACGAAGCGTCTCGTATCTCTTGGAACCGTGTCTCGTTTCGTCGAGTGGGGCGTAACTGGAAAGCAGACGATTTCTCGCGAGGTAGTAAGTCGAATTCGTGATATAAAAATTCCTTTTGACGTCGATTAGGGCATGGATATCTTAGTTAACGCGTTTCGTTGTAAAACACGATTTATTTTGTATCTGCCCTTTGAATGAACTTTTTTCTCGCGGGGATTAATTAAATATACAGTACTGTCTTGAAATAAGCAACTCGGTCGGGACCGACGAGTTGCTTATTTCGAGGCTGAAAGCAGTTGTTCATTTCGAGACAATATTGTATTCTTCATTTTCCTTAAACTTCGAGCCAAACATCAATCAACAGTAATTTATCCTTCATATAAACGTTGTTATTATGCAACCTGACGAATCGCACGCGATGGAAGACAAAACTTTTTTTTTTTTTTTTTTTTTTTTTTGGAATTTTTAATCCAAACTCAAAAGTCGTAATTGCACTCGTGTTTCTCGAAGCCCCGGAAAGTTGAAATTGAGGTTCCAACGAGAAGCCTCGAATAGACGAAACCCCCAGAGCTGGAAATATTTTTCGTTTCCCTTCAACTTCGACTAGTAAAATCGAATTCCTTTCGGACCTCTCACTCGGCGGGCGACTTCATACAAAAATGTGGGGATAACGAGTTGCTTACTTCCGAGAACTTTGTTTCCAAACAATAATTCTCAATAAATAAGTCAATATTTGATACGAATTCACGGGGTGACTAAGATTACTCAGAAGTGTACAACTTCGTTCGATTTCAACTTTTCTTTCGTAACCGACTGTATGCTTCGCTATATAAAAAACTTCGCGTGGACTCCTTTCTCTCGGAGGTTAAATAAACACTAGGGCAATGGGAATACTTAACTATGTTTGCAAACACATCCTCAATAATTGATAGGAATGTTAAATCGAGTTAGATTTCTTCGAAGCGGAGTGCGCATTTGATTTCAAGATGTATGTCGCGGAACGATTCCCTTTTCGATCGTACCAGCCTGTTTCTATTAATCCGTATCCAGTACCCTTCTATCTAAAAATATCCAAAGCTATTGATATCGGATTGGTCGATTAATAGCTCGGTAAAGTTAGAATTACCAGACAACAATATAAAATCAATGGAGTGCAAAGGACGGCGATTCAAAGTTCGATGGAATCAGGCTAATTGGTCGTCAGGCTAATTGTTTTCACCAGAGAAAAAACTAGCTAAAATAGTACAGTTGATTGGAACGAAGGGGCCACTGTAAAATTTATTTGAGAGTGGATATTTCCAGCATGAGTGTTATGATATCTTAAAACATCTTCATTTGTTATCATTTCCAATCAATAAATAAATAAAATTTAAGGGCTTTTTTTTAACTTGCATCACGGGAAATCTGTTGAATAATATACATATATATTTGCGTTAAGCAAAAATGAATCTAGCGTTGAGAGGCACTGCCCTTTCTGTCTGTTGAAGTATCGGACTGGCACCACCAGGTCTGAAGACCCTTGACTGTTTGTCGTCGAAGGCCAGGACAATAAACAGAACGCAGGCAGAATTTTCTTGTCTTTAAGTGGACGTTATAATTTCTCTTTCGCGTAGGCCTGAGCTTTCAATTAGCTCTCGTTCGTTCTCTAAACGGTCAACACTTCCTTCCAAACCGTCGAATAAAGTATACGTTCAAAACAAAATAAAAAATACTGTTAATAATTCTATCCATTCCCAATAAAATCGTTCCGTACTGATTGCCAGCACTGCTCGTCGCTAACTATCCGTCGTCCCTCTGTTTCAGGTGATCGACTTCGGTTCCAGCTGCTACGAGAACCAGCGCGTGTACACCTACATTCAGAGTCGGTTCTACCGCGCCCCAGAGGTGATCCTCGGCGCGAAGTACGGTATGCCGATCGACATGTGGAGCCTCGGATGCATAATCGTCGAGCTGGTGACGGGTTTCCCTCTGTTGCCCGGCGAGGACGAGGCGGATCAGCTGGCCTGCATAATCGAGCTGCTGGGCATGCCGCCGCCTCGGTTGCTGGAATCCGCGAAACGGTCCAGACAGTTCATCAGCTCGAAAGGTTATCCGCGGTATTGCACCACCGTAACGATGCCGAACAACTCGATCCTATTGAGCGGCGGTTACTCCAGAAAAGGTAAGCGCCGCGGACCACCCGGCTCCAAGAATCTTCGACGGGTGTTGAAGGACTGCAAAGACGTGCACTTCCTCGACTTCATCGACCGCTGCCTGGAGTGGGACCCCGACCAGAGGATGACGCCCAGCACAGCCCTGAAGCACGACTGGCTGCGTCGCAGGTTACCAGAGCCACCCGAGATGACCAACAACAACGCTCTTCCAGCGGTTCCGGAGGCTGTCGCGCCCCCAGCTTCCGCCACCAGGTTGCGTATCTCGGGTTCGGGCAGCAGGAGCTCGAGCAAGTCGAACAACGCCGCGCAGACGAATAACGCCGAGCCCACGAACAAGGTGAAGCAGTTGAATGACATCTTCCACACTATGAACACCATTTATTCGGTACTACAACGTTATCACGATGATCAGTCAGGTACGGCGGTGACGACGAATCACCAAGCGGCCGTCAGCAATCATCAGCCGCTGAACTCTGGTGCCGGTGGTGGTGTTGGTGGTGGTGGTGGCGGTGGCAGCGGTAGTACTAGTGGCGAGCAGCCACACGGCCATCAATTGCAGGGACAACAGCACAATAACGGTTCGCGCGGCTCCCATGGATCGCACGGATCCTCGCACGATAGTCACAGCTCTCACGGCTCCTCGAGCGGATCGAGCAGGCTGGTGATCAGGAGTATCAAGGACCTCCCCGAAGAGCTGAGACGATTCAAATGAAACACGAGGCCACCCTTTCTCGGTTCCGACGCGCTCGGTATCGTCATGTCGTTTTCGTTGCTGGTCCACACGCAACAACGCTACGCCACGGTGGGAAGCGATCGTCGAGGATTGACCGACGACGGCGCCTTCTGCGTGTGGTAACGTTGCTCGACGAGGTTTGCTCAGAGTTGAACGAGAGAGGGTGGCCTCGGCGTCAACCTCGGTTATTACTGTGATCTAAGCGATACGTTACTGAAACGCTGCTAACGAGGGACTAGAGCTCGGTCGCGATACCCTCGAAATCAACACGGTACCCTACGCTTCTGCCACGCGTTGTGCGCCGATCCGTTCGTCCGACATCCTCGTCGACCGTTGTTCGTTGAGTAATCGAGGTCCCGTAATAGAGGAATCGACTTGGGAACTTTTGACTTTCCCCAACAAGTACCCAACTTCAACGAACGCTGTCACACTCTCGAGCATCCTAGCTGCCCTGGACGAGGCAGGAGGGTTGGATGACTTCCTTTGGATAGAACACCCGGCGAATCTTCCAAGTCGATTCTTTCCATTGCCTTACCTCGATAGACGTTGCATGCGACGATTAATAATTTTGCGGTCGACCCAAGATCGGATTTGCGTGACGTCTGTGCACCCGTTGCTCGTCGCGTCCTAGTATCGAGGTTATTGTGCCGAGGGAAGCCGAGAACCAAAGATTTGCGCAACGTCGATGAATCGATTTCTCCGGTAGGCGAAGAAGGGTTATTCGGTTGACGGGGGCTGACAGGACGACCGCGATGAAGCCTGATTTGGGACATCAACGCGTTAACCAACGTCTCGCGCACGCGCGACGCGAGCCTCTCGAGCGAGCAGGAATCTAATAATCAAAGGGCATGTGCCTCGCTGAATAGAGTCATCTGGCCTTTTTAGGTCAGAGGATCTCCCCCTTCGTGACGCTATCGATATCGAGCAGAAGAGAACGTTGATTTTCCGTTCCGACCGAACAAGTACTAGTTATCGATCAAAGGAAGCCCAAGTTGTCTTTCGATTCGAGCGGAGTAGACTGAAGCGATCTCCCGGAGTGAATAAATTCCCTGTAAAAACGCTCGAGCCGCGACATTGTAGAATCGACGGGAACGCCGTCGATCGATGCGCGACTACTTGCTTTTATTCTCTCTTTTTTTTTTTTTTTTTTTTTGTTACGTTTCGAATAAGTATTTTAGCCGCGTCAATTTGTAAATTAACCAACGACGGACTTCGAGAAACGGGAATAATCGAAGTCGATCGGTTCGGGGTATCCCTGCGATCGTGCCTCTTCCGCGTTGAAGTAGACTGTACAGAGGAATTGAAACTGAATCCAACTCTGTCGATTTGAGAGGTACACGCTACGCGCAATTAGTCATTTATACGAGTCGAACTAAACGGTCTGTCTTTAGGTTCGATAAAAAAGACACGGTTGGATAGTTAACCTTTTTGAACCTTGTCTTTCTCGTTCTGGGCATGACTAGATTAATCGTGTTTTCTTTTAAAGTCTTCTGATTCGTACTTCTCTCTCTCTCTTTTTTTTTTTTATTTTAAATTGTTATCCGCGTAGTTTTTAAGTTTCGACCAAGTTCTCGCGTGTAAATACTCAAGGACTGTCTTGCATTTTACCACTGCCTTTCTTTCGTTTTTGTATTTTTATTGTTTTTTTTTTTATCGTTCCTTCGCAACTTCACTGCCCACTGGCATTTACGATTCGATTTACAATGGAAGGGAAGGCAATCGTAGCGGAGAAATAACGAGGATGCCTCTAGATGCAATTCAGATTCGGTGATGAGAATGTTTGACGAAGCTTATTTTACTGTTGATCAGGATCTCGCGCGATACAAACCGACCATTGATAACATTATTATCATGCAGACGGGATTTACGGACGAGGAGCCGGATTTCTCTCGTATCGTGAACATTCTTCAGGGATATGCTTTATGGCTCGTTGCAGTAAAACGCAGGCATAGACCCGAGTGTCTTCGTTGCGTTTGAATTAACGAAGTGAAAGCAATCGAAGATTCACGACTTGGAGGCTAAAGGGAAGAGGGAATTCTGAAAATTACCTTTTTCTTTATATCCAAGGTATGCAACAGCTGGGTTCAACGCTGTGCGTAGGTAGTCGCAAGGGTATATCAATTTGACAGAAACAAAATTAGAGAGTTCTTATAATCTTACAGGTATGAAAATCTCCCTCGATCCAAGTTTGAACACGTTCCAAAAATATAAATATTTAATAATCTCTTGAGCAAAATTCAAAAAATATAAACCTTTCGTTTCCGTTTGTAAATCCAACCCCAACGGAGACACTCGAGTGTATAATTCGAGACGCCTCTGTCCACGGGAGATTTCAGTAAATATCTTGGAATTCAGAAAACGATACTCCAAGAAAGTAGAAAACAGCGTATCCTCGCGTCGGACCAAACGACTCGATGAAATTTTCCCTCGGTATTTTCCGTTCCCCGTAGCGCAGTGTTGGGCAAAATGTAATCCATGGTTACGATCACGATAACACCTCGAGTTACGCGAATTTACAGACACCTGTCCACCCTCCTATATCCTCGTACGTACTTTGTATGCGTATACATATACATATACGCATAGAGAAGAAAGTTTTCTCCAATTTCTTTCTTTTGCTGGAAGGATTGCAGGTCTGTTCAACTGCAATTTGCTTCTGTAACAAAAATTGCACGCGAAATCTATCGTAGGGAGGAAAGAAAAAGGCTGACAGGAATTGTTAGACGTAATACTGATGGTTCTCAAAGCCAAGACTGATATTTATTCTTCCCTACGATACATTGTAGATTTTTTATCTTAAGTGTGGATGATACGGTACAGTAGAACCTCACTTATTCGATTACTAGGTCAGATAATAGAGGTCCACTAGCTATCCCCTCCGTGATAGTTTAGGTAACAAAAGTTAGAGGCTGCTAGAGGGTGCTGAGTTCAGGTACGGAGGGTTAGGGACTACTGAGCTCGGCTGCAGGAGACTAGAGACTACTAAGCTTAGATACGGAGGACTAGAGGTCACTGAGCTAAACTACGGGGTACTTAGAGGATACTAAGATCAGCTACGAGTTCCCATATCCGAGGCCGAGCATAATTTTGTTCGTATAAATAAACGAGGCGCGGATAAACGAGGTTCTACTGCACCTAAATCTAAACTACTACTAGCGAATGTGCCCGTTACAGTAATCTGTGGAAGTTACAATGCTATTTGTTAACTTCTTCGTCTCGTAAACAGATAACTTCGTAATGATCCACATCTCAAAAGGATATTTCCAAACGATTCAATCTCACCTTCACCTTATATCACCTTATATTTACATTCAACCGCGCAAGTCGAGGATTTACTTTTCCACCTAATCGGCACTCACGATGAAAAGATCGTCGAATCACCAGACACGATCATCTCCGATAGATCACAACTTACAGATTTTTGTTTGCAGATTAAAAATTGTACCGGTTAATCCGCCAACTATGAGCGATCGTTGCTAAGGTAATCGCTAGACCACGGATTTTTATGCATTTATGACGTGCAATAAAATAGAAAACATACATAAAATATACACAATGTGTGTCGAATATATTCTATAATTATTATGATAATGTTATTTCGTTTCGCATAACGTCTCGCATACCTTCTGGTTATGTTTAACATGTATTTATTACATTAGTTTGTATCGTGAATGCAAAAGATCCGCTGTAATTACAAAGGTGTCGCGTCGCGGCGACAAAGGAATCGGTATCGTAGTCACAAAGGAATCCATCGCCCAACTCTGCCCGCGACTCGTCGAACGGAGGAACCGTCCGCGACGGAATTCGATTTGTAATCCATTACCGTCGCGATTGCACAACTCCTGTTGCGTTAGCAGGCTTTGACAGGGATTTCGACGAACGTCGAATAAACAAAGACTGGCGAAGCATCGACGTGCGCGAATCTTCGCGGAGCGGGTGTTGCGCCGTGCATCCTCGCTGAGCGGCGACCCTGGCACAAGTGAATTCATGCTAATTTTAGTTAGACAGAACGAACCGGAGCCGCGTAAAAGGAGCATTACGGATGTCGACGGAAGGTCGCGGGAGAACGCGAGACGCGGATGAGCCAACGATCAAAGAGAACCACGGTTAGGGAACGGGCGGTTAGAGGACGCGATCAGGTGGTAGAGAAAAAGCAAAGAGGGAGGAAAGAGGCGACGAGACCAGCAACGACATCGGACGATCCCAAACGAAGAAGTCGAGAAACTTGAAAGCGAAACCGAGAGAAGCTGCGACGGGAGTTTATTAGAAATCGTGATACTGAACAGGATATCTTGTGATATGGAATTTAGGTGTATTTGGGGTTCGCATCGGTGAACATAGATAAATATATATATAAGTATAAATATAAATATGAAGTGCGTATATATATATATATGATTATGTTATGTTGTAACGCTAACTAAAACGCCACGGATTATAAGAGCACATGCGTAGTGAGATGTAGCTAATATGCGTTATGAGGAGCGAGAAAGAACAACGGGTTCGTGAAACGTTTGCACGGTGTATAATGGTTGTCTTTCACGATTCCTGTTCTCCGTTCTTACTTTTCTTTTTCTTTTTTTCTTTTCCTTTCTTTTCGTTTTTTTGTGATTATAACGTTCTCGTTCGTGTCGTTTCGGAGACTTGTACAACCGCGATCGTGCTGGCCGTTTACCGATTCATTTCTTGAAGAAAGAATGATCGTCGCATGTGGTGGGGGGCAATTTTTCGATACAACTACCGTACGTCGATTCATTCGGAGATGAACACACTTACTCGAATAAAAAATGTCTGATGACGAACAAAAGATAAACCATCTCCGAGCAACTTTTTGAGTAAATAATTCTTTCTCTAGATTCTTTTCTACTAATGCAAAAGGATCAAACAAATTAGTACTAATTTCACAAACACAAGTTCTTTTTTTAATGCTTAACTTGACGCATTTACTTTAATTTAGCACATCGTTTAATCGAATACCATTCGTACCGCACTACAGAGTAAATTTATTCGTCATTTGTTATTCGAATAAAATTGTGCTCATCTCTCTTGTACACACTTGTTTCCGGTGTATCGCATCGAAGGCTCGCCCTCCTGGTCGAAGAAGAAACAGAAAACGAGCGCCGTCGATCGATCTTTAGATCCAAGATCGATCGTTAAATACCACTGCCAATATAATACCTTTCCTAAAATATTTCGGCTCTCGTTTTCACGCAAGGTACAAGCGACGTCGCATTGTATTATTTGCAAACCTAGTCTCCCCCCAATCTCTGACGAAATTTTAATAATTCGCGTTGCGCTCGCATGATATTATATACCCGTCGAAATGCGTTTATCTCCGTGTGTCGTGGTGTCCTTCCTGTTTTTGTTTCTTTATTTTATGCAAAACGGACACACACACGCGCACACACACACACACACATACACGCAGGGAACGTTTGAAAGTGGGAAGACCTCTTATCGGTCACTCTGCTTCAACTGTGATTAACGTTGCGACAGGTTCGTTGCTTGTCCGTGCAAACTTCGGCTCAAAAGACTATCTTTGTGTGCGCACCCGTTTGACGGATCTCGAGGAAGATTGCGCGCGGAAAATTGATTCAGGCCTGATACACGAGTAAGCGATTATCGATCCTCATCTTTTTCTTTTTTTCTCTCGCTTAGTTTCTTTGTTTTTCCTTTTCCTTTTTCCTTTCTAGGGCTTTTTACCCGCTCATGCAACGCGACCCGGCGTCGATCAGGTTTAAGCGACAGACTCCGAGCATGTAAACGCACGGGCAGGATATAAGGGCAGGTTTCAAGGCCGTGGCTTTAACTCAAGGCGTACGAAACTGCGTTCCGATTATCTGGAAGACGCGCGAGGATTCCTCATCGCGATGAAAACGTTATCGGAAAGGGAAAGTATTGCGGTACAGTTTTCGTTGCGTGCTTCCCTCTGGTCTAAGGTGTACTATCGATTATTATATCGGAAATAGCGGGGTGGCATTTTCAATTTGAATGGTGGCCAGGTGGTCAGCGCGAGCATTGTCGTTAGACTGCGGATGTTTAAGGGCGTTTATTAATTACGTAAAGACAATTTTGGCTAATTTCAACCCCCTTCGTGTAAGGACGCGTAAGATCTCCTCTTCTCCCTCATCTTAAATGCCTTTAGAAAAGGTTCAGTTACGCTAAAACACATTATTATTTGACATCAATCGAAGATTCTTGTTTTAATGATATTGGGTTTGTCCGGAAAGTCCATGTCGATTTTTGGTAGGTAGTACAGGTCTGAGTATATCGAAATGGTTGAAAACAAATAACATGCATACATCCCTTAAAAAGTGGAAAGGTTGTGGAACAAAATGGCATCTATGTAATTCAATAAATATGTATTAAAATGTCAAACGTGTTTTTGAATTTTTCTTAGAAATTGACACGAACTTTCTGGACAACCTAATAATAACAACAGTAATGTATTACGTAAGAATGATTTTCACCCCTTCACCTATTAATTACGTAATTAACGAATGACCCCTTATGCATTTATGCCAAATGAAAGTATGAGGATTCATAAGAATGTGAACACGCGCAAAATTGTATAAAATATCATCATTGATACACGTGTTATACCAATTTAGAAAATAAGATGTACCGTCATTTAAATTTATATTCTTTTTCTCTGTCTCTGTGAAATTGCGAATGCGAACGAATGTCCGCAGTCTACTCATTACGAATAGCATACGTCTCGATTTCTGGTTCAGATTCCAAACAGTACGCATGAACGTAATCTGAAATCTGTACTCGTGTGTCGCCCCCCCACCCCCCACCCCCCCCCCCCACCCCTCCCCCGAGAAACGTATGCCACGAATCATAGCGCAACCCCAACGTTTCAGCCACCAACCATTTAGTTAGAAAGCGTACGAAAATGTCCATCAACCCGCGAACGAACTATTTTCTACGTTGTAACCGCCAATTTCTTACACACGAGACTTTCCAGGAATTATTTATATCGAAGTCCTGGGTCGCGTTAAGCAATAGTGGGTCAAAGCGACGAGTTCGTTGATCCAACGTTCCCGCAGCGAACGAGACTGTAAAATGCTAATGGGGGAAGGACGAGACGAGAGAGGGATGTAGCGCCGCGGAAGAGGGCTTAGATGCTGCGCTGTTTCAATATATATTTCTGTATATTTGTAACTCGTGAGCGTTTGTACGGTAATTAAGGAGTTCGTAATTAATCTCCAAGGACGCAGATTTATTGGTCGGATCGACGTGGCGCGGTAGCCTCAGGTTCGTTGAACGTGACCGCCCCGTTCCGTGACCTTCCCTCTTTCCAATCTCGACAATTCCGACTGCATCGATCCCTCCTCTCTAGCTCCGTCTCTCCTTAGACGCCCCAATGATTCTAAAAGCCAAACACGAAGGAATCGGCCCGTCTCTGCCCAATTGCCTTGTCAACTTTCGATTACAGTGATCCCTCGATACGACGACGGACCTCCTCGATATAACGCCACCGACTTTGATGCCATTGTTCGTCTTCAACCGCGTATGTGGACATTGCATCGAACTCCCGAAGTAAGAAACGAAGCACGAGTCGAGTGTTCTTGAGGCTACAAAAGCGTAAGTGACGTATGAAAATTGTATGGTAGTGATTATGTAGCGAAGGGAGAGAGCTCTATCACAATTATCGCGCTCCTGGTTATATAGGTGCAGTAGAACCTCATTTATCTGGGGACAAGACAGGTTTGATAAAGTAAGTGTTCGGATGACAGAGGTCCACTAGCTAAGCCCTTCGTGAGCCCTTCATCATGGACCTCCACGCTCGACCGTGGCTCAGGTGATAAAAGTTAAAGGGTACTAGAGGATACTAGTCGGAAATGATCGACTTAGACTTCATCGACGCTAGTTTTGACCGACACCAATTGCCACTAATATTGATCGTGATGTACATTATCTACGTGGAGAAGTACATACATTGTAGTAGATAAATCTTTGAATTGAACGCATAGGATGTGTATCGCGTCGACGATAATATTCAATGTCATCAATATTGGTGTCGGTGAAGTTTTTTTCGGTGATTCCTATGGGACCCAGTCCCCCAGACCAACGTCTCCCATGCTAATCCGTGCAACGTTGAACACATCTACGACAAAAATGCGTATAGTTATGAAAACGAAGCTTACTTTTTTATTCGACGATATCTAAACGAAATAAATTCAATAAGGGCCCTTACGAGTTTGTATATCCAAAGCTAAGTATGATTTTGCTCTTCTAAACGAGGTTCTACTGTACGTGTCTATCCCACGTGTCTATCCCACGGATCGAGATAAAAAATAAATCGATTCCCCGAAAGTAGAGTTGTTTATCTCGATGAATTGCTTATCCTCGATGTAACGCGAGTAGGTTCGTTTAGCGACGTCGCATAGAGGGATTATTGCGTTTCGAATTTGCGAGACAAGCCGTCGGGTCGACGTGAAACACGCCCGAAGCGCGAGCGGCCCGAGGTCGACGAGAGGAAAGGAAGTTGACAATGATTAGTATCGTTAAGGAAATAGCGGTAATCGATTTAAGTCGTAATAGATAAGGGACAAGGATAGTTAACGGAGACGGTTTCGCGGCTAACGAAGACGAAACGAGTTGAACGGGCAAGAAAAGGCGGAGAAAGTTCGAAAAACAAGGAACAAGCGAAAACGAAAGTCGAACGCCGCAGGATTGCCTGCTGGGCTTCGGGTTTTTTTTTCCTCTCTTTTTTGGTTTCGGTAATCCCGAGCGCATTTCGGCGTGTACTTGTTTCAGAGTTTGGGCGTGAATCAACGAATTAATTCATTAAATTAATAGTGAGTTTTAATTTAATCGAATTAATTAAATTTATTTGACGGTTGGAGAAATTGGTCTCGAAAATTTACTTTGGAAACTCGACGAAGTAATAAAGTTTATAACTTTATTATTCCTTCAAGCATCCAAATAAATCGCTGAATCCACATCGCCGATTAACACTAAACCAACCATGGATAAAATGGCTGGTCTTAAAGACACTTTTTTTTCGATCGAATGCAAAAATATCTTTCGCGATATCGAATTGAATAATACATACACGAATTGTACGCAAGAACAGTACACAAAAATTTGGAGAAAGTCGCTTGACCCCTACCGGTAGATTTTGTGTTAATTTAATCAAGGATTGAGCCCAGCGACTAATGATCGCATCGACTCATTTAGATTAACGATTATTAATTTTAATCGAGTTCCTTGATTAAGAGTTGGCCAACGCTGATTTATCCAATTCGTTCCGCCTCTTCGTGTGGAAGAAACGATGAATTGATCGCCAATGTGGCATATCACGACTTTTATTTCGCGTCCAACGAAGCGTGCGCTTTTATTCGCTACGAAAGGTGCTCCTCCGCGTGTTTCATTCGCCCGAGCGATACGCGTTCGAATTCGCCCTCGCGGTCAAATTGATTTCCTGAAACGAAGAAGACCCCGAGATGTCGCAGGGGAAACTATGGCCAAGTTAACGCTTTTAGTCATCCCGAAATGACAAGACTCTCCATTAAGGAACTAAAATTAATTACGACGGTGAAGCGTTAATACTACGTTAAATAGTTCGATACTGCGACCAATATTAGGCTATCTAATTTTCAATTGTCTCGAGACCAAATTTTAGCTTTGTGGAAATATTCACGAGTTTTAGTTTGGCAGCCAATGCGTTAAGGATGCATCCCCGGTCAGAATTTCGAATTTTAACGAAAGCGTGAGATTTTTTGTCTAGAAGAGTAGAAATATTTTTTAATTTAATTGACCACCCTTAACACTTTACCTACCTGTGGCAATTCGATATATAATTAAATTGAATAATATTTTCTATTTTCACAACATCGGTACTACACAATATTTATTTTATCTACTAGAATTTTTCCCAGGTTAATATTGATAATACATCGAATAATATAACATACGATGTTATCTCGGTAATAGATAACAAAGTATCGATTAATTGGCTGCCAGTAGGTAAAGTGTTAATAAATAAACATTGGCCGATATTTAAAAAAGAAGTCATTCGAAAATGAACCTCCTGTGAACAGTCTTACTGTACCATATCAGTCTCGAATATGTTTATGTTAATCCCGTTAATTCTTTCGTTTTCTTTATTCGAATACACGGATATTCAAATAACGATGATCGAATATTCAAATGATCCGGGTGTATTTGCAGCGCTCGAACACCCGTCGAGTATTCGCATATTAAATTATTCGCTCCGGCTCTGGTTCGCGATCGATCGTCGTGCGAACGAGAGGTTTCCATATCGAAACGAAAAAACAAAGAAAAAAGGCGAGAAATTATCGATGAAAGCTGCCGTGAACCCTTTGTGGTCCTAGGTCGAGCGAGACTCGACGGAAATGCACGAAAATTAGAGAACCGGGATCACGGAGGGTAAAATTTTCGCAATTGCTCGGACAATGATATTTGTACGATGAAATCGAAGCACTGTAAAAAGTTATGTACACGCCCCTCATGCATACGATAACACTGTGCGCATTCACACGGACACGTAACCCCGATTTTGCGATACTCGTTTCTGCACGCACCTCTTGTACCCACGGACCGTTTTCAGGAAGCAGGATGCGTTTCCTTGTATTTTTATTTCCCTTTTCTTTTTTTGTATCGAGTTCGCCTGTAGTCGACTAACTCGCTTTAAGGCCTTTTCTATATATTTTCTAATCGCATATTGTCGCTGCAACAGCGAGAGAGAATAGCAGAAGGAAAGAGAGAGAGAGAGAGAGAGAAAGGGATAATAATTGTCTTTCATGCGTCCTGATATTTTTACTCCGTCATCCTTCACGCGCATAAATTGTATTATAATTCCTTGATTCGTGCATTTCGTCATTCGTTGCATCTAATTTTAATCCATCGACTTTTAGCGATATTTACATACGTACGTATATATACACCCCCATGAGCGTCTGTATTCGATCATGTACCTCGATTTGTATATAGATATATATATATATATATAAAGGAAGAAAAAAGATTTGACCCCGAGGGGGGACCGTTTTATTAAAGCGATGCGACTGAGTTTAGCTGTTTCCGGTGTCCCTCGACACGATTCGCGACATTTTGGATCGGTTTGCAGCGGCATACGTTTTACTGTTGTCGTGCATACCAGCGTTGGACACAATTACAAACCCTCTGGATAATCGATGATAGATGAACAATCGAACGCGATTACCTCTGGAAAGATTCAAATTATCGTTCTATTATCGCAAATTACTAATGCATGGGATCACAGATTAACTCCATTCAGTCCCAATTTGTTTTTAAGCTACAAAGGGTACGGTCATTATTAGATTGTGGTTGTTTATGCATTCGTGGTAGGGATGCATAAATGAAAGAACATATGAATAAATAAACATGCGAATGGGCAACGCTATATGATAGTTAATTCCTGCAAATAGGTACTGGAATTAACAAATCTACAAATAGACTTGTACGTGACGTGTTGATCCACAAACATATAAATTTGCCTTCTTCGTGAGTTTTACATAGCCTGAATGGATTGATCCAACAATTACAGACCTTAATAACTCGTTTTATTTTAATACATTTAATACGCTTAATACTTTGTAAACAAATACGTACCTCCCTATTAATAATAGACCTTTTATAACTTCAAAATATAAATTAGACCTGAATAGGGTTGATAAGTAATCGTACATAATAAAATATACATTAATAATTTTCGACCGTAGATTATGTCATAGCAAAATTGATGTTAATCACACGATAATCAGATTATTAATCACTGTCCAGTCATGGTGCATAAGATGTTCACCGACGGCGTCGCTTTTCACCCCCTCCCCGATTATAATTTACGCGCTAAGTTTCTTAGGGTTAACGCGAGTTTTCTTAAGCGACAATGCAAAGTTTGATCTCTTTACTCGTACATGCATCACTATAAATATACGAATACCTAATTGTAATTGTATATGCGGAGGAGTCGTATGCTCGTTGCGTCCAGCATTTCTTTATTATTATCCAACCTTTTTTTTCCCTATTTTTTTTTTTTTTTTCGTTATTAAGTTTCCTCTTTATTCGTGCTCGCGAGGTCCTCGAGGACCGAACGCGAAGGACGAAGAGGGCGCGTCACCCCGCGATAGGACCTCGCAAAAAAAACTCATACATGTATAAATACATTTAAAAGTACACGCGAATGGTACGATTCGATGCGTTCATCCGACGTGCAATGGTATACACATACTCGAGGCATGCATAAACACAGACACAGGCATACATACGACACAACGTTGTCACCCTTCTTAAAAAAGAAACAACCCTTCGAACACTCACCCCCCACGAAACACACGAAACCGTAATTGTAACGCGTTCTCGCTCACGAGTCACGAAAGCGCGAAACTGATTTTTTAAAGAACTGCTCTGACTTGATTAAGAAACGAAAATAAACGCTGCTTAAGACAGTTAGTGGCTGGCTTGGATTTCCTTTTCTTCGTCGATACCCGTTCCAGCGACCGGGCTTTCGAAAATACACTTCCTTCGCTCTTTCGTTCGCTGTTAAATCGCGAATTTATTAGCGCGCTTATTGACGATAAAGAAGAACTACGAGTATTGTGTATTATTCCATTTACTTTGTAATATCTCGTCTTAAATGTTTTCCAGATGTAAGACATTTATTTTGGAACATTCGAAACCTTGATATTAGATGTAGAAATTAATTCTGTGCCTCTCTAACGGTAACTTTACCATTTATTTATAAAGAAAAACCACGAACTTTTAATCTTCGTTCAGCCACACATTCCAAGAGAACGCATTGTAGTTGTAAATCATATGAAACGAAATTCAAAGTAATCTGTGTGATTCGTTGCTATATTGCTACTTCAATGTAGCAATATGGCAAAATGTGGGCTACTGAACTTCGTAGGTACACGTAGATAAGTTGTAACGTCCATCAGGTTCAGACTTTAAAATGTTGGTAATTTAACAAACTGTCGAATAAATATTTTTATTTGAACTGTTATTATAAACGTTTGTATGTAAAGTGAGAGAATTAATTTCTACCCCTAATATTATACGATTTAATGTAATTAAATATTACTAAACGCACATCTGAAATAGAATTTAACTATAATATACGGTGAATATTAATAATTCGTAGAACACGATAAGTGTCCACTTATTTATGGACGGTGTACAGCTAGGATAGATAGCTTTCCATCGAGTTGCTTCGCCCCGTGCCCCTTTTCGAGTGCAAACAACTGGATAATAATTATCATGGCCGACGAGTGCGAGCATTGCCCATCTAACGCCAAACACGGACCATCGATCTGGTAACAGGTACGTTTGTCGTCCTATTAATTTATCGATTTCGGGTCAACGATTCGCGTTTGTAATTGCGTTCCGTAGCGCGTATTCATCGGGAATCGAATAGTGGGTATTTGCTTAACAGTTGTTTCCCGAACAACAAATTTTACTCACGAAGTGACTAATATTAATTTTCTTCTCATCTTGTTTCTCTTTTCCAGAACACTGTAGGCGTATCCGTCGGCAAAATCGTTCTTGTAAGAGTGCAGACTAAGCAATTGATCCTCTATTTTTATTATAGATCAGTTGTGTTCATTAAGAAGAAACCCTAGAATTGATGCTTTATTTTTTTTTTTTAAATCAATTATATTTACTAAGAAGATGGCCTAAAATCGAGGGAAAATGGACTATATAATTGGTCCCGTATTTTATTATAGATCACTATGTTTATTAAGAAGGCCCAGAATTGATGAAAATGTCACTCTTCAAACCAGCAACGAAATAAAGCATAGCTCGTAGTCTGAACCAAAATTATAAGCGAACGTTTGTTAAACTCGATATCCAAGAGTTCAAAGTGTTTCTAACGTATTATCCTGTAGACAATTCTGACAATTATTCACGCCACCATTCGATACCTGGTCGAAAGCGTTCGTAGTAAGCTCCGATAGTTGATCCATAGATCTTCGTTGTCAATAAGCACGCCTTGTAATTCATTGACGGGCTATCGGATTGCGAGCAGGTTGATTCTTCTGGTGAGATTCGGGTGCTAATTAATCATAGTACCGGCATCCTGTTACTCTATATGCTGGTCGAGCAGCCTGCTAAACGAGTCGTTAATCATTGACACTCCACATGGGGGTCGAAATCGATTTTCCTGCGTGCGAAATGTGTCACATTTATCCCATGTATTTTCACCCTTTCGGTAGTAAATGGTTCATTGTAAAGCTGCGAACGGAACACGGGCAAAATTCTTAGCTAAATTCAACAAGTTGATCAACGAAACAAATACTTGTTTTGTTCTTTAAAGAACGTACCCTCTCTACCCCCTAATATTAAAATTAAAATTTTAATTGTAAACCGAAACGTTTTACAGTAGAATAAGGAAGAGAAAGTAGCGATTAATTGAATAAACGTCGCGAACACTACGTCAAGCGTTTGTTTAATTCGTTATTGAAGCGAGAGTTTGTCCATCTTCGGTGGAAGAATGAAACAAAACGCCATTGTTCTGGCAAAGAGTGGTGAAAAGTCCCGCGGAAAAACTGGAATGCAATTATCTGACATTGAATGCTTTTCCGGGTCGCATTTATTTTTAATCCCTCGATGTACAGTTTACGAGGGTGACGTCAAGCAGACTAGGCGTGGATGATTCGCTCCAGTATACTTCGGCAAATCGCCAGTACACTGATCGATTGATCGCCCTCTCTTCCTCTGGCTCCGATCTACTACCTACGTAAATAATATTTTTCCTTCTACCAACGACGGTTATGCATTTCTCTCACGAAACATTCTTTGTTCGCCGACTCGACCAAAAACGGTTATTTACGATAGCATTGGCGTAACAGGCGAATCAATCCACGAATATCTTTAAACAGGTATTGAAAAATTACTCGTACGTGTTTCTGTATGGATCTCTATTTGCAATATCTCGCTTGCTTACATACAAGAATAGAAATATGTAAACAAAATATTAACGATCGCGCTATTTTGACTGTGCAAAGGTAGCGTGATCGATAGTCACTTAAGGGGGCATTTCACTGTGACGCACAAAAAAAAAGCATATTTTCAATCATTTTTTTTTTTTAGGAACTATTGCATAAAGTTGAATGAATGTTTTTTCCCCTTGAAGGTATGATTAAGGAAAGTAAATAAAAAATTTCTTTTTTTGGTAAAAAATATTTCGTCATTTATTTACAAAATAATATGCATGTGTGCAAAAAAAAAGTTATCCGCTGACGTAGATGATTGGCTCTCCTGGTAATCTGAAACAGAAAATCGAAATAGTTTATTAAACTATGTCGTTACGCCTATCGTCGGAACCTCCACTTATTTATTTCATCGAAAATAAACAAACCGGCAGCGTTTCTTGTGAAAGAGAGACAAAAAAAAACACTTTTTTCGTACCGTAAATCAGGTGAAATTGTAAGTAAAAATCACGATATCAACTACTTGGAGGTTCCAACCATAGGTGTGACGACATAGTTTAATAAACTTTTTCGATTTTCTGTTTCAGATTACCAGGAGAGCCAAAATCACCTCCGGCAGCGGATAACTTTTTCTTTTTGCACACATATTATTTTGTAAATAAACGACGTAATATTTTTTACCAAAAAAGAAATTTTTTATTTACTTTTCTTAATCATACCTTCAAGGGGAAAAAATATTCATTCAATTTTATGCAATAGTTCCTGAGAAAAAAATTATTGAAAATACGCTTCTTTTTTTTGTGCGTTCACAGTGAAATGCCCCCTTAATTAAATACTTGTGCCAAACACTTAACGAAATATAAGCCTATGTTATAAATATCGTAATTTAATTTCAAGTCGAAACGCTTAAATAAAATTAAGGCGACCCTATCGTGTCAACTTGCTATCTTTGAGAGCTTCACAGGGAACAAGCTCGTACGAACAATGATCCCGTGAACTGTTTCGATGTTCGTCTGAGGATAAACCGGTCTTTAAGAAGCGAACGAGACGATCGAACCTGTGTCACTGTTCCTGTCCCGATACCGACCAGCCGACCACTTATTTTCGGTCCGTCCAAATTCAATGGCAGAAGTTACTGGCCGTTTGCCAGCAGTGCTCCAGCGGTACGTTGTCTTTTTACAACTCTCTCTGGTATCATCGTACAAAACACCAGATGTTGTTGTACATTTCCATGGAAATCTCGTCGAACGAAGCAAGGGGATCGTTTGCATGCGAGATCGGCGTCTAAAATCTATGCAAATTAACAAATAATCTTCTTTGTTTTCAGGAGACGTTGGAGCTGCGAAATCATCAAGGGTTCAGTAAGCTGCTCAAACGACTCGCCAGAGTGTAAAACAATTATTTAAAAAAAATGAGATTTTCTGTCAGAATTTGGACGACATTTCTCCATTTATGATATTTTCTTATAGGAATAAAAGTAAATAGACCTTCTTAATCTATTAGTTAAGAAAACGTCAAGTAATTCAATATTAATTTATTATATATCGACGCAGAAGCGATTTAAGCGGCCTGTGTTTGCCGCGGTTGAATGTAGCGGGTATTGCCCCGACGAATAATACAAAAATAAGATCAAGGAGTGTCAACAGCGTGGGATAATCAGGTACCAAAATGCCACGAAGGACAGTTGCGTTCGAGCAGTTGAGACGGAAGGATGTAGTAACGTTAATAAATATTCTATATCGAAAATGATTAAATATGCAAAGTGATTATCGTGACTGATTTTAAAATCACTAGTGGTGTATTAATTAATTCTCAAACAAGTAAATACCTAACCGAAAGATAATTTCTTGTTTTTAGCATAAAATAATAATAATAGGATGCTAAAAATAATATTTATGTAGCTAATTATTTATACGATCTTCGTTTATTTAATTTTTTAATTCTTCTAAACAATGAACGGCGTGTACCAACATTCAAAATTGGTAATGCAATCAACCACGAGATGGCTCGCGAATCGACAGTCATTTTCCTGTCTGACACTACTGACTAACCTATGCTCCAACTAGAAGTTTTGTTTGTGACTTTAAAAAAAATACCAAATTCATTTATTTATTTATTTCACCACGAAAAATTAATAGATTATTCATACAAGAACCTGCAGATTAATTTCGTTTAACATAAACTTAATAAATTTGAGAAACCGCCATAATGTTTTCGTTGCATAGAGAACGACATCTGAGATACGTTTACTTCAAGGCTAACCGTAGTGTCAATTTGAATTCAAGTTTACAGGTGAAATGGAGTAATTTTTACTTAGTACGAGCTACACACTTTAATAATTGCAGTAATAGACCGAAATATCTGTCTCTGTTAAAATGTGACAAGCTCTAGCAAAGAGAATATTTGTACACGTATATAATAAATATAGAAAGTAGTGAAAATTGTATATAAAATGATCCCTCTTTTACTTTTATCTGTACTTCATTCATTCGCATTCGATGGAAATACGATGTTAAAAGAATTGGGAGAAAAAAGATACCAAACAATAAAAGGTACGTATTATTTATTTCTTATATTATCTAATATAATCTTCACAAACGTTATTATCTATGAATTACATTTCACAGCAAAATCTACTTTGTCTCAACATGGATTATGTTGGCACAATGCTCTTAAAACAATAACAGATAGCTGTAATAACTTAAATGATCAAAAACACTCGCTATTAGCTCTTCAATTGGCACAGTGTTTTTTAGAAGACTCTGGACACTCATCTTACAATTGTCATCTTAGTATGTCAGAAAAGCAACGGCGGTAAATTTTGTCACCTTTTGAAGTACATATTTATATCATAAATTTCTTTATAATAAATTTTATAATAAATTTTTGATATTGCAGTGATTGCATTAATAATATGTCGGATAGAGCATTTAATGTATACAATGAATTTTATATACATACCACGCATATCTGTTTTTATTTAAATTATGAGGCTTGGCAAGCTGAAACTGATAACACGATTAAGGAGTAAGTTTATTTTATGTAACCCAGTATGTAACATTCTGAAATAATTTGTGAAAAAATTATTTCTGTGCCACAGATTGTATCAAGTTTCCTCGAGAATGAGGGAACAGTTATTGGAGGCTTCAGAAATGCAGGGAGCTATGCTGGAAACTCAAAGAGAAAGTTTAAAAATGCAAGATGAGCTTTTAGTTCACGGAAAACAACTTGGTATTGTAATAAAATCTTCATCTGCAAGTGTTCAAAATATGGTAAAAGATTTCAAGTAAGTCTATAATATCTATATAAATATAGTTTAAGATTTTTAGTTATTCATTCCAAGAATTTTGTATTATTATCCATTGTAGGGAATCTGCAAAAGACCAAAGAGAATTATTATTTGAGATTTTTTCGTACTTACGTACTTTTCAAGACTGGATTTTAGGCGAAATCTCTTGGTTTCAATCCATTATGTATTATACAGTTAGTTGCATATTATGTGCATTATTTAGTTCTTCTAAAAGGACTGTGGATGCTAGAATTACACTTTTCACGATTTTAAGTGTAAATGTTATAGTAGAACGAATGTTAGTTCAATATTATAGTAATAATACATCACATTCCAACAATAGTAAGGTAATTTAAATTTGATGCAATATTAGATTATTTTACCGAAAATGTGATCATGAAAATTCAATTCAGGAAAATTTGATAAATACGACATGGATGTACCGAAAAATAGCTTTAATTCTATGTGCTATTTCATTGTTTTGTACATACTATTTTTACAAAGATGAACAAGTGGAAAACCATAAAGTATTAAAACGGATTGAGCATCGATTGAATACTATACAGGAAGTTACATCTGTCTGTAACACTAACTGTTCAATTCGTAGGTACAATAATTATTTGCAACTAATTTACTTTATAAGCAAGTAGCTTATACCTATTTTCTTTTATCTGTATCAGGTTATTCTACGCGATTAGCTATGAAACGTTTACAGTCAAAAGCAAATACAGAAAATAAAGTGGTGAATTCTTTGTAATAAATTTGAGGTAATTAAAAAAAGAAAAATAAAATATACTTTGATGTAGTGAGGTGGGATATATAATAACAATAAGAAACGTTTGTAAAGATTTCTACTATAATAAATATATTTTACGAATGAAATGCTTGTAATGAAATTAAACGTTTGGATATCTACGTAACATGTAGTTAATTTGCGAATCGGTAAAATGTTTAGTATCTGGTGTGGGGATTCCTATATGTTGTAATTTCTTCTGTTCTTTCAAAAATTGTTTATGTTCTGCAACACATTTTTCAAACTTCTGAATTTCAGGGTTGCATAAATTATTTTCAAACTCATTAGTTTTCAAGCAAGCGAGAAGTAACGACATCTCGTACAAACAGTTATTTCCTGAAACAAATAAAAATTGTTGTTCAACTTTGAAGGGTTTCCAGATATATCGCGCGTTATCAAATTTACCTTGGTCCTTGTAATTCGTTCCCTGAACTCGATTTTGTAACGACAGATGATACCTTTTTCTAAATGGTACTGTCTCCGGTCTTTGGAAACTCCGTGCTTGACGTTTTGCTAATTCTACCAGGCTCAACCTCATTTTGTCTACAAATAAAACATTTACCTAGTATAAATTTGAGGTTAGGAAAATTAAAGTTAAAATGTGAACGTAACGGAGAAATAATTATCGCGATTATATATGTTATTAAAAAATGTCAATGGAGTTATGTAGAAGACATATTTTTTTGTCATTTATTTTATTTAACAGTATACCTTTTAATGAAGTTGCTTTGAAGAAAAACCTATTCCGTAATAGATGGCGCGACACTTATTTCGATAAACTCAGTTGATAAAAGATCTTTGTTAGCAATAGAACAAGTTCTATTATTCAACTTCAGATTTATACAAATATACGATAATTATAATATATCATTATAAGGAAATGATGGCGTAATATTAACGTTATTAGACTTTTCATTTAAGAATATACGTGTAAATTACGTAATGCATTATTGAACGAATTTACACAAGTAGATTCTTCTATAATTTAGAAAGATTGGCAAATTACTATATATAGGTGGTAAACGTAAACTTGTATTCGAGAAATAAGTGAAAGTATGAGTCGAATGAATGGTATGGAGTATGGAGACGGGAAACTTAAAGAAGGGGCTTCATAAACAGGATTTCAAAATCTAGTGATGCAGTGTACGTGTATGCCGCCTGATGCCGTCGAGTTGCCTTTTTATTCTTAACCTCAATTTTGTGGTATCAAGTGATATGTGATATTGTCATTTTCACGGTACACAAGATACTTCCTGGAAGATCCAGAGGAACATCTACGGAGATACGACTCATTTGTCAAGATTATCTACAACCTTGCTAATCCAATACTTTATCTTCTACACTCTTGTACATTCACGATGGAGAGACTCAGGAGTGAGTGTAACATTCTTTAATTCTTTATCGTAATTGCAACTTTATATGTTACTTACTTTCTAACAAATTAGTTTCAATTGGAATTATTCATATCGTAATGTGAATGATAAATTGTACACGTTTTATTTTTTTATTGTATGTTATTAAAATATAAATTTTGAACATAAGTTTGAATTAAATATTGCATGCTCATCGTCAGTGGTGGGGGAGAAGAGTCCAAAGGAAGGAACCTAATTAAAGTTCGAGACAAGATCTTAGATTTCGACAGTTTTATCCCTGATAATAATAAAAATGATTACGATTGCGATCAATCTTCTCTTTCGAAAGTGATTGGAATTCAACAGTTTATGTAGAGGGGTTGGGGGGGGGGGGGGTGCCTCATTGTTCATTGCGTATGATTGCCAACTGGGAATAAAAATGGCAGAGATTGGCAAAACCAACGTATTAGCATCCGTAACCAGTGTTCTTCCGTATATTGTATTTGCATGATAAAATCGTACGATGGACCTTTATTTGATTTGATAAAAAATATGAGATACCGCTAATGGTCATACCGACCTACTTATTTCAAAGTATGTTAGAGAATTTTTCTACGCATCGAATCGCGCGAGGACATACTAATTTTCGATCTTCGTTTATTCTTGATTTATGAAACAATCGCTTCAACGTATTGTATCCTTACACGGTTCTGTTACATGATCACTCTGGTCCTTGTGCATGTTACAGTTTCACACTTTTTACTCGAACAATATTTCTAATGCCACGAGCAATTCGAGACGTGTGAACGTCTCAAAGCTTCGAATACGAAAGAGCGAAAAATGTACGCACCAGCATATTCGCGATCATGTACATGTATGAGCACCATGTGACGAATCATGCGAGTCTCTCGTATCGCCTGATGTTGTTGATAAATGCGCGGTAAAAACATTATCAAGCTACCCATACATACTTATCGGACCTGGGACTCTTTTAATATAAATGATTTAAGATATAGACCTGGTAATCAAAAGTTCATCTTCGTGTCAGAAACGTGATCGTGATGTGCAATAACGTTCTCGTGAGTGGCGTTATTTTTTTTTCTCTTGTCGAGGTTTCGACGGGATATCGACGAAAAAAAAAATCGAGAGATTAGAATTTTTCGATTTCGGTTGATAAACATATTTGAACGACTCGCCTACATACAGTGTGACTCATTTGTTACTTGTCAAGTCATTGCTTCTCGCGGAACTCAACACGTGGCTGTTTTACGAGCGTGTCACGTGCATGCGTAATATAAACTCTCGCATGAATACAATTCTGAATATATTAGATTGACCCAAAAGTTTCTTACGCTTTATTAATAAGTAATAGATGCACAATAGTTTGTATTATGTTACATTACTGAATTGTGCACGATTCATTTTGCTCCATTATTGTTACGATATGAATATCTATGTAATTAGATTGTCTATTCATATAAACACGATCACATAAAATAGTTGAGTGCAATTCGCGAAAGAAACTTTCGGCACAACCTAATATTATGCATTTTTTGTGGTCATTGTCGATATGGATATCTAAATGGACCTTAACAAAATAATTCACGAAAAAAGAAATCATTCTTAAAGCTAAAATAATTGTATCGATTATTGGTTGAAATTTGTTCATTTATAAAATTTCTCGAAAATGGAAGACTCGTGTTTCTGACTTCGGAGAAAGGATTAAGTTTCTTGCAAAGGGGCCCCATAATAAATTTTAGTTGACGGGCCCTTGACTGATTGGTTACGTCTCTGCAAATAAACACAAATGTAGAATGTCGACCAAAAAAAGTAGTCACAATGCGGAAAATCTTCCGATTGGTGGAATGTGATGTCGCCACAGTCATTCCACCAATCGAAAGTCCTGCGTCGTGACCTTATAATTTTTTTGCACCTCATTGTACACATTGAAGAAGGTACATGTAATTACTAAGTAATTAAAAAATACAAAGCGATTCTTCGCAATGATAGATTTTTTTAGATGGATTAAATTACTATGTTAAATTACTATGTTATATTACTATTACTAATATCATTATGTATTCAATTTATTTCACGATTTTTTTTCAGTAATGAGTTTGATTAGTTATTCTATAAAAAGAAACTATTATCAACGAAAACCAAGCTCAGTATTTATTTATGTACTGCATTAATTTATTATGTACCACATTAATTTCTATACACAATTCGATGTTACAATTAACTTCCTCGATGTTCCCAAGTTCGATTTCTATACTTATAGAATATACCGAGAAATGGCTCAAAACAGATGAGTCGACACGTTAACAAAAGCTCTGGTTCACGACTGCATAATCGTATTTTTCTTGTCTCTGCATCTCTCTGCAAGTCTCTGTATAATTATTTTTTTGCTTCCATTGCGCTATACAGAAATTGTAATCGTGCATCAGTTGTGATGTAAAGGCCAGGCATAGCTCAACCTTTATTAACGTAACATGGCAATTAGTTGTGTTTATTCAACTCGTGCGAATATCAAAGAATAGTAGAGCAAATATTGAATTCAAGCAAGTAACTTGGTTCTCGCTTGCCTAGTATTCGCATCACCATGTCCTTGACCATCGGAAGAGTACGTCCATGTGTGCGCATCATACAGGCGCCAATCTTCTATAATATACGTTAAATCAGTGGTTCTCAAACGTATCAGTTCATCCAGCACTTTATACTCTTCAAAACTTGGAAGCATTAACAGCTTTATACTTCGCTACTGATTTACCAACGTAAACAGCTTTCGTTCTTATTTTCGCGAAAGTATTATAAATTATTCGTGAAGAAGGAAATGCTGCAAAACTTATATTGGGCTGTCTGGAAATTCCATGCCGATTTTTAGTAGACGATACAGGTCTGAATATATCGGAATGGCTGAAAACAAATAAAATGTGTACATTCCTTAACAGGTGGAAAGGTTGTGGAATAAAATGGTACATATATAATTCAATAAATATACATCAAAATTCAAATATGCCTTTGAATTTTTCTTAAAAATAGGCATGAACTTTCCGGACAACCCGATATAAAGCATTCAAATAACAGGTTACGACAGATATTGAAAAAGTTGGTATTTAAGTTTAAGTATACTTACAAAAGTGCTATCGAAGGATAATAGTACGACGATATCATACTACCATTGTCATGTAACTAATGATTCTACAAAATAGCTGTTCTATAAAATTCGAGTTGAGATTCGCTGCATTTAGAAGTAGCATAATGACTTTAATAGAAGATGTATTGTCGGTGTTAATTCAGTTTGCAACATGTTTTTGTGCTTCTAACAACGGCGTTTGAAATATTTATAACCGAGTAATTTCTGTTCGGTGCACATGAGACTAGAAATTTAAGGTATCTAATCGTGCATTGCCTTAATTTTTCTATATTCTCTTAAACGTTTATAAAGGAGTACGTGGCTATTTGTACGTTTATAATTTAATTAATGTTCTATCTGAACAACAAGTGCCATTCGTTGTGAAATATTAGGTTGTCCCGAAAGTTTCTTTCGCGAGTTGCACTTAATTATTTTATGTGTTTATATAAATAGACAAACTAATTTCATAGATATTCATATTGTAACAGTAATGGAGCAAAATGAATCGTGCACAATTCAGTAATGTAACATAAAACATAAAATATCGTGCATGTATTACTTATTAATAAAGCGAAAGAAACTTTTGGGACAACCTAATATTTAATTCTTCAAATGAGAAATTGTTGATATGACAATGGACATTCAAATGTTTATTGTCAATGTGATCAATTCCTCGTCAGTGTTTCTCTAGAAGAGAGGGTAGGGAGGAGACACAGAAGATAATTCTTCATGTAAAAAAATGTGCATAACTTAATCATCTATTTTTGTTAAGTCATTGATTTTATTGACGATTAACTATTGTACGAGTACATTTTTACGTGTATCAGTCTAACCTCGCCAGGGCTGAATTGCTTTGTGTATACTAAACTTAAATTTCTAACCGATACTGATCAATGATATATATTAACCTTGTAACAACATCGCCGTGTTACATCATTGGGAAAATTTAATTATGTATATTTATTCACGACTTAAATTCTTGACTCCACAGAGAGTATTTATAGTAACTCAAAAAACTGAACATATACAACGTGCGTATGTATTTCTGAGTAATGGAGCACTTAGAAATGTTTACGGTTCCCTTTTTTTCTTATTACTTAGAAGTTATCCATGTTTTTCAGCATTGAACATTTCTTTCATGTCTTCTGTCCCCCTTGAGAATGTAAGATGCCCCCTCAAGAAACACGCCCCCTGGTTTAAGAAACTAAATTGTAGGTTATACCGAAACGTGGATCTTTAATTGCGTAAATTGTTCAAAGACGTAATAATTCAAATATGACAAAGCTTGACTTCGTACTTAATAATATTCGTACTTAAAAATATAAACAACATTCATCATTGGGTTCGTTAATCAGGTATTTCTTGTCACTTTACATAATAATATATACAGAGCTAATATTTTCAATGGACAGTTGTAATTAAAATATGCTTCTTGAATTTGTATTATTTTCTGCTTTAAATCAGACTGTTTGCACGATACGGCAAATGCATATGTGCGTAAATCAATCACCGATTGTGTATAAATAATCACCATTTCCTTAATTTATTCATTCTTTCATTTATTACGTACTATTTCCATTATTTAATTTATTAGTCTATGTGTTTCAATCTATATGATAAGATAATAATAAATATAAATAATCTCCTTCGCGCAAATAAAAGATTCGATAAATCAAAACTACTCGAAACAACGTAATCTCCAGTTACTTCAATTGTATCATGTTACAAAACTGACCGAATAACATTTGAAAACCACTGCTTCGTTTCGGATACAATCTCGTGTTGCACATTGGTTTACAATGAACTGGCGCGAACGGGAATACATGAATATTTGAATACTATTTACAATAATGAAGTACGGTAATCATTTTACGATTTGAGGAAAAAGATGTCGAAATTCGAAATAGAGGATGCAAACATTTGTCTTGAAATATAATATAATTATATTAATATAATAATTATATTAAATATAAATTATATTAACTAGTAAAAGAATATAATCTTCGATATTATCAATGACCTTTACTCGGAATACTTTTACAGAATAAATTTTATTCCTATACAGTGTGTGTAGAAAGTATTCGTACACCGACCAATTTCCAAAAAAAACTATGTAAAATTGTAATTTATTAACTTATCTTTTATAAACAATAACATTCTACATATTCTCAGAGATTTCTAGAATAGATAGGGTACAAAAAAAAAATAGCTATTCATGTAAGTTACGAAATTAACAAAAAAGAAACAATTAATCGATACGTTGAAGCAGCAAGTATTCGCATAACTGTTTCATTTTTAAAATTTCATTAAAAGTGGGATCATTCGAAGTGGGATCTTCTTCAATTCCTCTATTAGAGCCATTTTTAAAAGTACTTTCCTGGAAATTTGATGTTTTCTAATTCGCACGGAGCAATGAACTAACGCGTTTACGTTACAAACTCCACCGTAAATGGTTCTTCATAAGAATATCGTACAAATACTTATTGCTTCTGTACTTTCACCCACTTTTCGCATTGTTTTTGTTAATTTCACAAATTATATTAACTAGTAAATATTGTTTGGACTATATCTATCTTAGAGACTTCTGAGAATATGTAAAATATCATTGATTATAAAAGAAAGAAGTTAAGAAACCACAATTTCACAGAAAAGTTTTTTGGGAAATTGATCGGTGTACGAATACATTCTACACCCGCTGTATGTTTCATTAAAGGGTAACACCACTCTAGACCCTGAAAAAAAGGCCTAACTTCGATCATTAATTTTCAGAGTGTCGCAAAAGAAGTAGGATTTCTTTTGTACAGGGTTCATTTAATACGTATTGGAATATAAACAAAAATTGTTGTATCATAATTTTAGTACAAAATCTAGAACATGTTATCACCGGCGTTTTCTTTTAGTACAAAATGTAGAATCTACACCCGCTGTATATCAAAAATTGATAACTTTAGATGTGAATTTTGCCCCAAACGTCCGTATAATACTCGCCTCACTGGAACGCGTCGATAATACGTGAAAAGCCGAGATTATATAACACGACGGAACAGAAAATGCCCGAATAATTATAGAAAAAATAATTTCGATAATGACACGACAAGGATCTCTGCGGTAGATAATTGTATGTACTTCGTCGCCAGGGTCGGCCAGTGAAGAGTTAGATAAAGAAGAAACATCTCTCTAAAGTAACGCATAAATATACCAGTTGAAGGTCGTTCGAAAAACTCTCTAGAATGGGAGCGAGAAGTAATTACAAAGGATCCAGGGACGTTTGGGATAGACCGTTTGTTGTGCCTAAGGACTCTCGCATGGTACCGTTTGGAAAGGTCAGGTGTGTTTGTACTTCGGCACCAGGCGTCTTTTCTCCAGATGTGAAATATAGTCATCGCGACGATCCTCAACGACCAGTCGGAATCAAACAGTCGAAGCGATCGGTTGGTCCGTTACGGTGGTTTTTGCTTGTGGTTGCGACACGTTCCCGGGGAAGCTAACCAGCGTTTTCCGAGATTTTTCACCGATAACATTGCTATAGCGGTTCCCTTGTTATCATGACGAGTAAGTCGTTGCACGGTGACTGTGATACCTATTTTTTTTCTCTCTTTTTTTTTTTATGATAGTTTCTTGTTATCACCGGCGTTTTCTTTTCCGATCGTACGCCAATGCCCACTTGAGACCAATTCGTGATCGGATTTAAAGATCGTACGCGTGACAACGAATGCAAAGGTAGATCTAACGACGAGCGCGATGACATACCTTTGAAGTATCGTTTCGATAGAGTTGGTCTCGAATTTAAGTGAAGTTGCGCGACTCGGGATAGTCGTGAATTGTGTTTTGAGTGTACCCTGTATTTGTTGAGTGTATTTAATATTTTTTATATTAAGCAGTATGTCGTTTCTTTGCGACATTTGAGCGCGTATATCTTTTTTGATTGGGCAGTTTATGTTTCAGCTTTTTTTTTTTTTTTTTTGTATTTCTTTATAGTCGTATAGTGTTGTATAAAAGGTGTCGTTGCCATGATGTGCTCACTTCGGTAACGTTACGTAAGGGTATAATCATACTTTATGCTGAAATGATTTGCTCCTAATATGGAGATTAACATACGCTACCATAATTTGTACATATTTTTTTTATAACATATTTTCGATTATACATATTCAATTTCACTATCTTGCATTTAATTACAATTGCGACATAATCTCCACGTTCTTACGTTGTCTTCGTTGTTTCTGAATAACGGAAGTACTTAACAGTTAATAAAATTTGTCATAGAAGCGATAAACGTAATCTTATTGGCTATAATTTTTCTATAAATTAAGTACAAAGCTTTTTCTTTTAATTTCAAAAAATAACGCGTGAATTTCGTTGTAGTTACTGTTTTATATAATTTGCTAGAAATTGAAGGTAATTCTGTCGGATGTGCATGATTACGTTATTAGATTTTCTTCTTTCTGTACTATTCCCAACGCGTTACGTAAGCAATAGCGCTTGAATTGAAATTACTCGTAATTTCAAATACTGTTTTAGAGGAGGCACGTGTAATATATTTCACCTACAGCTTTTCATCGTTTGTCTTATTATCTTCGAGTACTTACTTTCTAGTTTTTTTTTGTCATGTCCATTCACCATTAATCATTAATTTTTCTTAATTCTGATACACACGATAATACGATGATACAGCTCTCATTTTAAATGAATAATGTATGCATAGTTCGACGTAGACGAAGGTTTATTCGTGTCATAGTTCAGTTAGAATTCGTTGTATTATCTTCGTGATTTCTTCTATTCAATTTCTTAAACCAAATCTATTTTTTGTAATACTTTTATTTAGAAATTAATATGAAAATGTTAAAAAAACCATATATTCTACAGATAGTCTATTCTTTCTTGAAGCAGAAAGTATTGACCGCTCAAGGTCACTCAGCGGTTATTTTCATTAATTCATTCGGATACTTTTCTTCTCTCTCCCTTTTCTATCTGTCTACTTCCCTTCGCCTTTGTTTCTACGACAGATAAACACAAAGCAAGCAAAATAGCTATCTGAACAAATATTTCGAATAACGAATAAAAAATAAATAGTTTGCAATACCTTATTCATCCAATAAAAATTCCAATCTAAATTACACTATCATTTTATGGTTTATATTAAATGAACAAGGGCTTATGACCTGAGTAATCAATTAAAATGTTATTAGAGTAATAGATGACAAATAAAACAAGCCTATAACAATTTATTCGTAACGTTTATTCGATTAAACAGTTTCATTTTGATTTATCGATTGCGAAATGTTCACTCGGATATTACTAAGTCTAATTTTTTTATTGTACGAAAAATTATATTATACAAGAAAAAAGATGAATAATACATTGTTTATCTTTTATTCGTTATTCGAAGTTTTTATCAACGGAAGTATTTTGTCCATCTTCACCTGAAGTAATTTTGAACAATTACTGTCTGTTCCGAGCTACTATAGATTCATTTGAAACCGCAAGACCGTCCTAAAGCTAGAAGTTATTTGTAAATAAATTCGACTAACAAATATCTCGTATTTCTCTTACAGAAACGTCGACAGAAGAAAGCCTGCGCTTCATCAGGCAGTCCTTAAAATCGGACGAGATGGATCATCTCGAAGGAATCCATTTCGACAGACTGTGTCCTCATGTGTTCATCACCCTTGGAGCCTCGGTAAGTATTAATTTTTGTTTCCAATAATAATTATCACAGTCGAAACATTAAAGAGCTATGTGTTATTCGTTCATTTTGTTTTATCATTTTTAGGAGCCTATAAAAAATAATATTCTACTTAACACGTTGATCGCCACGTCACCCGTATATGGGTGACAGTGCTTTTCACTGAAAAACGAAAGCTATTAATTCTGAAAGTTGAGTGTCATAGAAAATGAATTCAAATGAAATACTTGAATTTTGATGAAGTTACAGAACTAAATACCAAAATAAATATTTCATTACGCAGTTCCCAAAAGTCTGTAAACAAAATTAAATCCCAGTAGAAATGTTCAAGAGTATTAGTCTGGCAGTGAACGTGTTAAGAGAACTGAAATAATAACGTAATAAAGGTGTACTTTGATACAATGAATTTGACCATGTTCGTAGGGCGACCTGGCTAGAAAAAAGATCTACCCAACTCTCTGGTGGCTGTTTCGAGACAACCTCTTACCGAAAACCACAACATTTTTCGGTTATGCGCGCACCCATATGACCGTGGCTCAGCTACGAGAAAAATGTCACGTGTACATGAAGGTGAAACCAGACGAGCAACAGAGGTACGAAGAATTTTGGAAACTGAATTACTACGTCGCAGGGATGTACGACTCTCAGTCGTCGTTCGAGGTGCTCAACAACGAGGTGAAGAAGCACGAGGAAGGCCATCAAATCGCTCACCGATTGTTCTACTTGGCTTTACCACCAAGCGTGTTCGAACCTGTTACCGTGCATATCAGAAACGTTTGCATGGGCGAAAGGTATCTACAAAGTACAAACACAAAAGTTTTTATCAATGCTTCCAGAGGTGGGGATGTATATTCGTTTGGATCGATAAGATAAAAATGTCCAACTGGTCTTCAGCGGTAGTAGATTATAACAATGACATAATTGACAATTGTCGAACGGCCAGGAATTTATATATTCCGGAAGTCACCGTTCAAGGTTAATTTATTAAATGCTTTTAGTAATGAATTGCATAAGTCATGCGCATCTATAAACCCCTGGATTTGTGTACGCGCATATTAAGCGTGTATACGAACATGAACACGTGACGAATAACATCACGCATTGAATTCTACTTAATGTAAAATTCACGTGTGCACGAACGTGTATACGTAAATAGGGGGCTCTAGCGTAGCGTTTCCTGTTCTTTAACAATTATTTAAACTTCAATTTGTTACTGTTTCTGTTACGTAAGGGATTAACTGAAATTTCCACCGATCCAGATGTGTACATTCACTTTTGAAGACCGCGATAAGCAACATTCTCTACGCCCTGAAGATAGGTTTCAAAATTCTAAGTTGATGTATATGTTAACGAGATACTCCTCTTTCTTCGCAGAGGTTGGACCAGGGTGATTATAGAGAAACCGTTCGGTAGAGACGCGATCACGTCGCAACGCCTGTCGGATCATCTGGCATTATTATTCAAAGAGGAACAGATTTATCGTATCGATCACTATCTGGGGAAGGAGATGGTTCAAAACTTGATGACCCTTAGATTCGGTAATAGAATATTCAACCCGACCTGGAACAGGGACAATGTAGCCTCCGTGCAGATCACGTTCAAGGAACCGTTCGGCACCCAAGGGAGAGGTGGATACTTCGATGAATTCGGTATCATAAGAGACGTAATGCAAAACCACTTGTTGCAAATCTTGTCCTTGGTTGCGATGGAGAAACCCGCGTCGTGTCATCCGGATGATATCAGAAACGAGAAGGTGAAGGTTCTGAAGTGCATAAAACCTTTGGAGCTCGAGAACGTCGTGTTGGGCCAATACGTTGGTAACCCTGACTCGAAAGATCCTGAAGGACGATTGAGTTATTTGGACGATCCTACTGTACCACCTGGCTCCAATACACCCACCTATGCACTGGCCGTTTTAAGAATTAATAACGAACGTTGGGATGGCGTTCCATTTATCCTTAGGTGTGGAAAAGGTGAATTGCTTATCTGTCGCCTTAGTAGAGTGTTGTCACTGATTAATGAGGAGGTTCACTCGATTTAAACAATGATGTAGTCTGATCTATTTTTAAGAATATTTTTATTATTGCTTAGCTTTAAACGAACGGAAAGCAGAAGTAAGAGTACAGTATCACGATGTGCCTGGCGATATATTCGATGGAAAGCCGAAGAGGAACGAATTAGTAATAAGAGTACAACCTGGTGAAGCTTTATACATTAAAATGATGACCAAGTCGCCCGGTATTACGTTCGATATGGAGGAAACGGAGTTAGATCTTACGTATGGTAGTAGATACAAGGTTAGAATGCATTTCTTTCCATTTTACGTTGATGTTATACGATGGTTTATATGAAGTGGCACTTCAATCAACTAGTACTTAATTTACACGGTTCGTTGCTCATTATAGGATCTAAAACTTCCCGATGCGTATGAACGATTAATTTTGGACGTATTTTGTGGATCGCAAATGCACTTTGTGCGTAGCGATGAACTATCAGAAGCGTGGAGAATTTTCACGCCTTTGTTGCATCAAATAGAGGATGAACATATCAAACCAGTTCCGTACAAGTAAGTCATGGCAGAGAGCAACGATAGAACTATCAATGTTTGGGGCTTGGGCAAAGTTAATTGTATCATTTTAATCTTAGGTACGGTTCTCGTGGTCCCAAAGAAGCGGATGAAATGGCAAAAACAAATAATTTTGTCTATTACGGTTCGTACAAATGGATAAAGCCATAGTTTTTGGTCATTTTTGTTAAATACATTTAATGTTAAATGATGTGCATGTGGCATACAAGTTGCAAAAATCTGTACTACGATTCCTTATCTGTGATCATAGCACTCCATATTTTTATACCAATATATACACGGTACTTACCTGAAATTTTATATACGTATATAAATAATTTTTATAATTAATTTATTGAGCTAAATCAAGTTTTAAGCGTAAAGTACCCTTTAGCAGAAAAAGTATACAGATAATGTATCACGTTCAAATGGCACCAAATAAGGACATATATATGCATGTTATGAGTGTTTGTAAATAAAATATGATCGTTCCATTTGTAAATTTATATAAATCTCAGGTACTATATAACTTATAGTAATTTTTATGAAATCTTTTGTACATTTTTATAAGAGAAATGTAATGTTTAGATGACCATCTAAAAATTTCGAAAACAATTTAAGAATTACAACTTGTGCGTAGATCATAATTTTATTTAATTCTGACGATTTAAACATGACGCCAATCACATGAAATATTCTGTACAGTAAACGAAGTATCATAAATTATAGAATACGTTCTGCTGAAATTATTCAAGTATGTATTACAGTAAATAAATAAGAGAAAGTTGAATTATTCAGTCTGTAAGTCACATAACCTTTACGTGTTGAATCATTAAACGAAGTAAAGTAACAAGAAAAAATGTTAGCAAATTGCTTCATCGAATTTGAATTAATGAATTTCTATGAGACTGTTATTCAGCTCTCTCTTTCTTCCTTTCATACAAAGACATCAGCGAGACATAAACGATCAGGTCAGACATACATTATTGCATACATAATGATCAACAGAGAACATATTTAATGTATAAAATTATCAAATACTTTTTTAGAAATGCAGTTCGAATTAAATTAATACACGACACATATTCATATGTTTGTAAATACCACTGTAGAGTTTGTCATATATATATATATATATATAATTTACCCCTTGTAACAGTGGGAAAATTGAATAGATATAAAAATTATATGAAGTATGGGAAGTTGAAGTTGGTTCGTGATTCGCAAATTACTTGTTACGTTATTAAAAAATAATTTACAGAAACTTAACTGATAAAGTGCGAATAGTATGAATGATATATTTGAATAAATTTATCCTAGTCTTTCATAAATACATAAGAGACGATTATATATCCACTTACCGCTATGTAATAGTAAAATATTGCTACAAGCAATACACATTGTACAAATTAAATACACACAAATAAAGGTAGAAAATTACACGTTATTTTGTAAACAGTCATTTTTAAGTTCACTAGTATTTTCTTTAACGTCTGCTAGATTAGGACCATTCACAGTTCGGTGCATATGAACCAAATGCAAATTCAGTTTTTGATGTATCGATATGACAATGTTTCTTTCTCTTTTTTGTTTTATCACCTCACAATAGCGTGTAAAAGCGTCAAAATTTGATCCAGGTCTATGAGCTGACGAAAATACAATTTTAATATATGTTACACTTATTAAAAGTTTAAATTTCACAGGATCCAGGATCTAACAATTCGTCCCAGTTAATACTTCTCTGAAATACTTCTTGCTGCAACCATAATTCGTAATGTTGCTTGAATTCTTCGCTTAATTCAATGTTTACCCCTAGTACTGATATGACAGATGTGTCAACAGGTTCCATTTCTTTGTCTTTAGGAGCATTAGAATATCGTCGATTGTTAAATTGATCAACGCATGTGCGTAACTCGCACTCTTCCACTTGGAAATCCCATGGACGTGCTTCTAGATCTACAGATAATTAAACCAGATCGTCTATATATCGTTCATAAATAAGCGAAACTTATAAATATAAACTGTACATTTTTTTAATATCTTACCATTTCCATAAGCCCAATCATCGTTCAAACGATGTCTGACTTTCGCATAAATTACACTGATTGTTTTCATATTTGTTTTCCGCCACTGTCGTCCCAAGTATTTGGTTTGCATTTTTAGTAATTTTAAAACATAAAGTTGCATCATTGCTTGTCTAATTTTTAACGTACGCTTTAATATAGGTGCCGATTTAAACACTACCAACATCTAGCGGAACAAATGAAATTAAAACCTGTCGGTGAATGAACTAGGTAATTTCAACAAATATTTTGCTTACCATAATTCTGCTATGCTTCCATTTGGTTAATTTGTTAAGAATACGTAATAAATTAATGCAAGAAAAAACATTTCTCCAAGAATACGTTGGACTGTCCCCAATTTTAAGGTTTTCTATGGTCAACTCAATGCGGTCGCCGATAACACATATAGGAAAGTCCAGTATAGGAATACTGTAAGCGGGAAAAGTTGGACCTATTCCGTTTGTATAAATTTAAAAAAAAAGTAATAACTTCAGATAAACACTTACAAATGTTTAGCTTCAATATAAGCTACAATATTCTGATTTATAAATTTCAAAACCAATGGTATGCAGTTAGCAAATACTAAATGCTGTGACATAAATTCGAACTGATATATGTGATTCAACTTGAAATGCTTCAGCAACAAAAGCAGAATTGCAGAGACTGCTTTAACAATGATTTCTTTGTGTCTGTTTACATCAATTCCAAGTTTCGTAGACTGAAAAACTGTCATCCTGAAAATAAGAAGAAAATGAAGATCTTTTATACAATCTAGTGTAATAAAGTTTATAGACTTACGGCATTTGTCCTGGTAGAACATCGGCCATAATGTTCGTACTGTCTGTCTTGGCTTTACTGGTGGGAGCAGCTGCGAGTAAAATTTTTAATAAGGCAATCATGTATTGCGGAAGGTTCGGTAGTATAGCTTGATATAAAATTTCTGTAGGTGTCTGACGAATTGGTGGTTCTGGAGTGCTCATAGGATTTCTAGCTATTTCTTCCTCTTTTTGTATTTGGACCTCGGCTAAAGATGTGTACATATGCTACAGGCATAATGGTATATATTATATTAGTATTTCAAGTAGTATTCTAAGTACAAAATTTAGGAATATTGAACTTACTCGTTTAAGCGTATTTACGCCTTCATGTATTGGTTGCGGTAAACCTGCTAAACTTTCTCTATCTCCTTGTAATTTGTAACCAATAAATTTTAGTCTCGATACATCAAGGAAAGTGTCCACATCTTGTTGTCTTACCTTTGGCATCCATGGTAAACCTGTAAAAGTATGTTGTATCGAATAATTTAAATTTGATACGCGGACAAATCATTAATTCAATAATAAAAATATATTACTTTTTCCTCTAGTATGCTGTGGAGTACTAGGCCTTATTTGTATTTCATTATTTTGATCTTCATAACAAGTTTGATTCCAGCCAGTTGGGTCTGTGAATACATTTATTTCTACTTCTGCTTCGTTATTTGTAGTATTATTTCCCATTTCTCCACTATCGTATTCCATACCCAAGAGTGGCTCATCCAATGAACTTTGTTTCAATAGATATTGCTAAAATGAGTTATAAAATTATACCTTAGTAATAATGAAAACTTTACATGAACTATGTAATTGTATATAATAGCACGACATACTCTACGGTATTTATTATTTTTTCTCGTATTTTGAGTTTCAATTAAATCTGCTGCATTGACAGGAGGAGAGCTAGGTCTCATTGTCTTGGCAACTTCAATGGTATCTTCTTGTAGATTACTAAGACCAGCTTCTTCGCGATATTGTTTCTTTAATTTCCTCAATGTATCTATACCACCAAGGGATACTAAGATCAACTTCCACAGGAGTAAAAGAACTTTTTTCATAGGAAAGTGTGGTGCTGACCCACTGCAAAAGCATGTGACCATACCGAGGAGTTTAACTATAAGCAACTCTTCACCGTATGGATTTATTAGTTCTTCCTTAAAACATTCAACATTATCCTTATAAATACTGTTTTCTAAATCCTTCATCTCTTCTCTCATTACTTCTGTTATTATGTATAAAACAGATAATATTACTCTTAAATCGATAGAATCATCAAGACTAACAGCAATTTTTCTCATTGCAGACGTAGCTGTTGTACTGTTCCTAGAAATTTAAATTATGAAATATAAATTTAAAAAAAAGCTATACACATTACTACTTTCTTGAAAATAGAATAACAAACTCACTCAATTTCAATATTAAGAAGTTCAACAAATGCTGGAAAAATTCCAGCTTCATACAATAACATTACATTTGTTCTAGTCCAGTCTCGTTGTTCCTTATCAGACTGTACCTCAGCCCAGCAACCTTGTGCTAAATATAAGATACACCTTGCTGCCTTCATTCGCAGCTGCTTATTGGAAACCTCTAGTTGATCTAACAATTTCTGAATCACTGATTTCTGTTGAATTTCTGTCAAATTTTGCCACCATGGTCGTACTTTATACCATTCCATTTGCTCTTCGAAAGCCTGATGATAAACACACTCACGTTCTGTTAATTTTTTCTTTTAGGTATGGTACAAACGTGTATACTCACTGTAAGATTAGCATTGAATTCATAATGTTCAGTGTAGCTATACAATTCGCCAATTTCATTGGCATGTGTGTCTGCATCGTCGTAAACAAAGTCTAGATCTGCTGGTTCCTGAACATAAGAATATAAAAAAATACGCGAGTGTCACTAAATCCAGTGTTAACTCCCATCAATGTAAAAAACATCATAGATATCGTAAATATTATATATACCATTTTGTAAATATTAATTTCAACAATTACTGTTCGAGAAAGGATACGAGACGGTTATTCACGTATCGTGAGCTTTGATAAACAATATATGCTTCTGTCAAGAAGGTTAGAAACAGGTCTGATCTCTCTGATCCTCACGACGGTTATCGTTATTTACTTTTGCCAGGCTTTTTGCTCTTAGTTAACAAAGCATTTACTCACTTCAGTAATGTTATGTTGTCGTGGTCGAGAATTATGTTGAAAATTACGCTTGTGAAATGTAATCGCGTCCATCGCTACGTTTAAAGCTAGTAGTGATTGGAGATCATTGAAGATCACTGAACTATACTAATACTAAAATGCATACTAGCTTGCCGAGAGAGAGAGAGAGAGCAAATTGGTGGGCTATCTTGGGTAGAGATGAGCAAAACCCTAGGCTTCGAATAAATCTGAAGTTTGCCGATATGTTTGTCTCGTTTCCTCTTTTCAACATTTTACAAAAAAGGAAACGAGACAAATACATCGGAAAACTTCAGATTTATTCGAAGCCTAGGGTTTTGCCCATCTCTGAATTCTTGGGCTATCTCTATTTGTCTTTATTGTACAGCCCCTTCTGAAAGTTAAGTAACACAATTTTTGAAATGTCGTAGTAATGAAAGAATTATAGTGAAAGAATAAATGATACTAATAATAATAATAACAATAATAATTAATAGTAAGAAAAGTAACTATTTCATAAAAACTTGATCGCTCGCTCCGCCGTTGGGGGCGCTAACCACACGCCTAAAGTTAGTTTGATCTTTTCACTATAAGATAGCTGCATTTTCTATTTTAATAATGAAATGAATTGTCTAAAATTGCACATGATATACTTCTTCCTGGCTGACCTAGCATGATTAATGAATAAAATGCTGTCCATAACCATGCTTAACACTAAAGGAACAAATAATAACAATAACAAATCGACTGGGATAACTTTCCATTTAATTTCTCTACATTTCTTGGCACATTTCTCTTTAATTTACTTTTGTTTCCTGCTACATTTTCCTTTCGTTTCACTGCAATAACAATATTCGAGATATGAAACTTTGTTGAATTTTAAAATCTCTCGATTTGTAACTTTTTCACCTTTTAGTTTCCAGCGTTCTAGAGACTCGGTCAAGCGTAGCACCTGTATGTATATCGATCTTATAAAGTTTTATTATTTGTTAAAAACATAGTTGTTATCGCTAATTGGTGTACACGTTCATTTCGGTTCATTCAAGTAGCAACAATAATAGTCGCGTCTTACCTTCTACTACGCATGCTCCGACTCGTGTGTATCGGTTAAATGTGAATTTGCCTCTGTTGTTAGTTTTAATTCAGTTTTAATTGTGACGTATATGCGTGCTCTCGTCCGTAAAGTGGACGAGTAGATAATAAGCGTGAAATAATTCACGATACCGAATAAAAATCGAGAGTACGCATATACAGAGAATTCGCACAATTGAAGAAGCGTGTGGAGCGACGACAAAAGTGCGAAGAAAAAAAAAGAGGGAGGAAGGGAGGAAGTTAGTGTGTACAAGAGGTCTTTTTTACGGTTTTTTGAGAGATCCTGCGAAGATATACGTGTTGGCCAGACCTGGCGATACAGCACGAAGCATCGTGTAACCTCAAGTGTACGTTAATCGCGAGAAATTTACGTTGCGTTTCATTCTGCTGTAAAGACTAGGGAGTGTACGCGACCCTTTGAGGACGCGTTGTCGATCATTGTTACAGTGGAAGCTTTAGAAAATGGCCGACAATTGGACACAGAACGTTGTTTGCCGGTAAGAAACTCTCCTATTGTCGTTTCTCAGTGTGTTTCAATGACAATTCGAAATTAACGAACGCACGAAACGTATGTCTCTTCGTGGACGAATATTTTGTAACGTGTCAATGAATTACGCCATGCAAATGTCGATATGTCTTGAGCCGTATGTATTTCTTCTCTCTTTTTAATACACTTTAATTCTGCTTCTTCACTTTGTTGATATACACAAATTATGCGCATCAAAGAGTATTTGATTTGTTATGTTTTATTAGAAAAATGAACGATGCTTAAGTATGAAATGTGTAAAAGAAAATCTGTTATTAAAAAAGTATCAATCATATACAGTTACAAAAATACTTTTGTTTACTTTGAATCGATTGAATCAACTAAGATTAACAATTTCAATTTGTTGTTTATTTGGACTATTTATACATTTGCATACATATTTGTAGACACCCACCTAAGAACATATATGTTTACATTAAGCAATCCTATAAAAATTTGTCTGTTGCATATTTTTTACAAGTAATAATGTTTACCATATAATTAGTATTACTATTTTCTCTCAAAATTTTCTTCTCATAAGTTTATTTTTTTGATTGTAGTTATTTCAAAAATGGTATGTGCCGTAAAGGGAATAATTGCAGGTATCGCCATACCCAAGGAGTTAGAAACGACGGAAGTACCAATGAAACAGTAATATCTTTGCCTGTTTCACCTGCTAACACAGTCTGTCGCTTTTTCAAGCATGGGATCTGTAAATTTGGGAACCATTGCCATTTTCGTCACACTGCTGAAACTGCCGATAATAATTCAGTGAACGCAGATTCACCAGATAATTCTTTACCAGAGCAACACGCTTCAAGTACTTCAACCTCGACAACAATAAAGAATGCGTATGTTGTCGTCAAATGACATTGTAGTTCAGCAAGATTTAAGTCGTAATACCATTTGCATATCACATTATACATTGTAATATGGTATATAAAACTATGTGATACATATTATAATGAAGGTAATAGGAAGTTATAATACATTAATACGTATTTGTATATTTCTAGTAAAGAAAATGCCCATGTAGCTGAAGAATGGGTAAAGGCACCCGAATTCGTACCCTCATCCATTGCTGGTTCGTCCACAGCAAACGAAGCCTCCGCTACTTCGGGAACATCTACGACCTCATCGCTGCCAATATCTTATGCTCAAGCTTTAAGTCCATTTGGTCAGGCATCCAGTCCATCTTTAGAACCTTTATGCCCATATGCAGCGGCAACTGGAATTTGTAAAATACGTAACTGTACATACTTACACGGACATATTTGCGATTTATGCAATCGTGCCGCATTACATCCACATAACGAAGATCTTCGAAAGAAACATACAAATGTAATTATTTATGGTCATTATAATCAGTTAGATTATTATAAATCAATATTTTAATTATTTGCATCTAATTTTTAGGCATGCGTTAAACAGCACGAAGTAGACATGGAGCTTTCCTTTGCTATTCAGCGTAGTAGAGAAAAGTCTTGTGGAGTTTGCTTTGAAATAGTAATGGAGAAAACATCTGGAGAACAGAGATTTGGTATTTTACCGAATTGCAATCATTGCTTTTGTATAAGTTGCATTAGAAAATGGAGAAAAGCTAAACAATTTGACAATAAAATTATTAGAGCTTGTCCAGAATGCCGTGTCAGCTCTGATTTTGTATGTCCGAGTATGTATTGGGTAGATACAAAGGAAGAGAAAGAAAAATTAATAATGGACTACAAATGTGCATTGAGGTAGGTAGAAATGAATGTAATAGTAGCGTTTAAATTATTTCATGTCGTTTATTTATTACAGCACCAAAGATTGTAAATATTTCAATAAGGGACGTGGTAAATGTCCTTTTGGTAACAAGTGCTTCTATCTACACGCACTACCCGATGGCACTAAGACAGATGTTGGTCCACCTGTTCGTCAACGACGTAACGCTGATTCGGATATTGATATCTTTCATGTGAGTTTAAGATTTATTTATTTGTCACTTGTAACTTGATTTAAATATTAATCTTGTGCTTTTACTTTTTACAGCAATTAATTTTGTGGAACTTCCTCGACGACAGAAATGACCGTTGGATATACGATGTAGATCTTGAAGATGTTCCCTTTTTCTCAGATTCAGAAGACTCTGATTGGTCTGAATATGAATTTTCTTTTGAGTAAAATTATATTAATTCAGTAATCATTACTGCTATTGCTGTTATCTGTATTATCTATCTCATCCACCACTTATGCGTGGTTTCAGTGGCTGAATAGACAAGTAGTTTATGAATTGTTTGAATGGTTATGGTTCAGAGGTGTCTTGGCTATGCTGTGTGCTTTGCTTGGTGATGTTTACATGGAAAATGTGTAAACGGCATCAGGTTAGTAATTAGAAAATAGCAGTAATAATAAGAGGATTACAGTCGCATGTACAATAATGACAAAGTTTTTAATACTACACTGTCACTTTGTAATCACCCTTTTTCGTGTATCTTGACCAATATTCTTATAACTAATACTCAGTCATAAGAAGTACACATCAAATCTATTACATCAGTGGTCCAAATTAATTCAATGAATAGAACATATATCAGAACATTTACAATGGTGTTTTGCTAACATACAAATTTGGTTTATTCACCGTCCTACGATCACTCTTTTTAAAAAATCATGAGAAGGTAAAGAAAAGTTTTGTTCCGCGATGCTAGATTCGATAATAAAATGAATTTTCTTTATTTTTCTGGTTAGAATAAGTGTACTATTATCGTCCAAGTTTTTCAACGGAATTCATTTTATAAAAACCTTTATTATCTTCATTAACTTTTGGCACTAAACTTAACGCTCGATTAAAAACTCGTTAAATAAAGTGGAAAATTACCATCATTTTCATTATAACCTAACTTTAGGCTTTTAGAATTAACTTTAATTTCGATCGGATACTTATTCTGCAGGCAAAGAAAACCAAGTCTGGTAGTTATTATATTTACTTGTTATTCGACTTGGTAAATAAAGAAGAATTCATGGGAAACAGTGTTTGATTTACACGTTGCAAGAAACAGTAAAATGTTACTTGTAATAGTCAGGGGTGTAACAAGTATTTGGTTATCAGTGATTCATATCGAAGATACAATTAACGAGTTTCGTCCTACCTCCTGTTACAGTTCTGTGAACATTTAAAAAAAAATTTCCTTAAATTATTCAACTGTATAGTGTTAGTCTTTAATTAATAAGTTTAAGATATCCGTGATAAATGCGCAAATCGAGTGTATCGTGTAATAAGTATGGCTGTGTGATCGTATGAAAACTTGATCGAATGCTTGTTATCCTAGATATAAATGAAAGAAACGATTTTTGGCGAATATGTGTTAACAGATTCCACATTTGAAAAGAAATAACAAATAAAAGTATGTTACGAAGATAGGTGAAATTAAAGCAGTTTGTGATTTTTATCATTTTTTTCTTTATATTTATTATGTTTAGAAAGTTTCGATTACCACCTTTTCAGAATTGATATACATTAGATCATAAAGTCGTTTCGAAATGTTTTGCGCTTATTACTTTGAGTCTGTTGCTTTTAATGATAAGAAACATTTTTCTTTTAAAGAGTCTACTTTCAGTGTTGCCTTGCAAAAACAGTCTAATTATACAGTTCGTTCATAGAAAAGTTATTCGATATTTTATTGGACAAACTTTTCACAATGCTGTATGTAAGCTGTTAATATTTTCTATAGGTTATCTATACTGTTAATTTTGTAGAGGATTGTTTTGATTCGTTTTATTGTTATCGCTAACGCTATTTAACAATAAGAATAATAAGGAACCTATATATTATAACATTGGATACTGCAACTATTTCTAAATTCTAATTTATATTATTTTTTAAGGCATATTTTTCACTCAGTACAGCATAAAGAAAGAAGTAGACATCTCGAGTGCCAAGGAGTCTGATTGCAAGTTTTCAATGTTAATTTATTTTTATTATAAATGGGATAAATGAAGTATTTTGTTCGTTAAAAAGACTATGTGTATATGTATTTGCGAGTGTACCATGCGTGTGTTTGAAATTAGAATTTTTATATTAAGCAATAATCTTTCGAGATTCAATTGCTTAGTGTAATTGATCTTGACTTTTACTTCCTACTATGTCGACGAATCTTTTAGATAAGATTCGATCTATTTCATAAATTAAACGCTTAATTATCGTCGCGTTATATTGTTTTTATTAAATTTCTTAATTTTACGCGTAAAAAAAAATGCAAATTTTAACTTATCTGATTCGTCGATGCATTTGTGTTTTTCAGATTTTAATCTTGCCCAAGTTAGAGTGACGTTAACATAAATGATGGGAGTCCGTTATTGTAAGACAAGACACTAGAATTAAGAACATTTTATCGATTTCTCGTCACAAAGATCAACGCCTTATTCGTGACACTAAGTGTATATGTATATCAAAGTTTAATACCTTTACACTAGTTATTATCACTATTTAAATGTAGAATCTTGTGTGGAACACTAATTTTTAATCGATATGTCATCGATTTTACAAATGATATTTAGTAATCGAGGATTTTTTAGAGTTCGAAAAGCTTTACGCAAGTTTTGAGCTTAATTCTAAACACTCTTTAGAGTGGCAGCGATGGTTTTTGTGACGACCACTGCCCAATGTAATGTGTCTTTTAATCTCAGTGTTGAATTAGGAAGATATGAGTTAAGGTAATTATAAATTAAGTGTAACCGCGTAGCGATATCATTGCCAAGAATTCGTGTGCTCGCGTAATTAGAATCATTACTAAGTATAACAAATCTTCGATGTTATTATTTTCGATACTCATTTGTTTTTCGCAGCAAAAATACATGAAGAATGTAAATTATTTTTAGAAAAATAATTGTTCAAATTTGTAGGAACGTAATTTTCTGGAAGTATCGCAACGATCATTCTCTTGTTCGATCGTTGAGTAGCACGTTTATAGTCATTACTTTGTATAGTAGTGAAGCTCAATGGTAAAAGTAAGTGATACGTATATTGGCTTCAATTTCATTTCTTACGATGATATATTTTTGTTATTGGAAGTAGATTAATAAAAGAAATAGACAGTAAGTCTATGCACAGAGGCAAACATTCCTAAATTTATCTCTTCTCGTGAATAATCCTTTTGTACACAAAGGATGACTTTTTTATTTTGTAAGTAGATGTAAAACTTTTATACAAAAATGTAGCATTTGATTTTTATATTTAGACAGAGCAATAAGGCAACGGTAGAAATAGGTTTATACCAATCGATTTTTAAACATTTATTTCTGTCTTGAGCTCGTATCGTCAAGTTTCGTTTCAATATTGAATTTATAGTACCTTTAGTAGTACGAATAGTACGAATTTATATCAATGTAGGTATCAAATTTGAAACGGAAATAAGGAATATACTTTAAAAAGAATGTATTAAATACAACTTCACTGGATTAATATATTCAAAATATATATATAGATTTCATCTAAATAAATACAAAATATTCTCAATCAAAGCATCGCGAAGCATTATATGAATCGAAGGCACTCAAAATAAAGGTTTACATATTCTTATGTCTTACTGTAAACATTGTGCAAAACACTTAAAAAAAAGGAAGGAAACAGACACATATCTCTATGAATACATAATGATATATTGAAATATATAATTGAAAGAATCATTTCTTATTTATGATGTTTAATTTATATATCTTTTATTTTCTGGTATTTATTATTTTACCAGTCTTATTCATTTGCTCTAAATGTACTTTTAACTCTCTAAAGAAGTCTTTAACTTGTATAGTATATGTACTAGTTATACGTACTATAAAACCAAATATAAAAATATTTACGTGTAACTAAACTGCAAATTTTATGCATTCCTGGCATTCACACATATAACAAATTTGCCAAATGTATACATATAAAGATATATACGTATGAGTAATGAAATATTAATATTATTATGTTAACATATATAATTTTGTATATGTTCCGTATAAGTATACATCACCAATGTATAAAATCTGCAGTCTACTCTTAACTCTATGTAATGAAGCAGTCAATGTAACAAAACACGCTCGCTACCTGGTAAATAATATTTGACAGATCGCGATCATTAATCATGTACGCAGTACAATATATAATGTACAAAGTCTTAGAGTCCGTTTTCGAACTACTAGATTGCTAGCTAGCTCACCATTTGTACAATTAAGTTTCTTTAGTATTTTCGCTCATTACGTGTTTCATTTACAATTTCTCTTTTGTATAATTTTGATATCAATTTTCATTAAAATAAGGCACTACTCAGGTCTCGATATCAATGCAGTCGATTTTCAAAACAATTTGGAATGCCAATGGGTCAAAATTTCGTAAAAGGCGTCACACCTTTTACTTAAAATATATGAAAATACAATTTTTATGACCATACGCGCAACGTTGATAATGTTGAATCAATTACCTCTCATCTAAAGCAAGAAATACAAGTATATAAGGTATTTGTAATTGTTTTACAATGTAGCTACTACAATTCCTTGGAACGCGATTGCTACTTGGCAGTAATTATTTCAGTCAATCTCATTCCATTTTGTTATAATGAGAACAGATTACGAATATTTCTCTAGACAGGTCCAGCCTGTCTTATCTATTTTATGCCATCCCCTTAGATCTTCCGTAATCCATACAGAGACAAGAAATTATCTCAATGACGCGAGGTAAGGTTGACACGTCATTCGTTGAACAGGCTGATAGATTCTTTTTTGAACGGAACTAGCAACTGATCCGCTATGCACCGTATTCGAATCCGTCTCCCCGTGTAGATCCGTGTTCGTTCCAGTATAATGTACTCCACGAGAGTCATCCTGAACTTCGGTCGAAGTACTTTGTCCGTTTGCTTCGTTTTTCTTACGAAACTTAGTGGAGTATTTATAAAAGTCGGACATTTCAAAGGGTTTCGTAACTTCCCTGTATGGCTGATATTTTCCAGCTTGAACGATTGTACAATTCTGGGACGATCCCAATCTAATCGTCTCATCATTTGACTCTTGAGATGATTTCGACTCGGCTGGAATTTCCAACACTTTCTTTCGCGTTTGTTCGTAACGAATCGACGACGACGGTTGCAAATGTTGCTCGTTCTCGATCGCTACATCAGTCTTACGATGGTTCATCAAAGGAATATAATTATTGCTTTTCCCGTCTTCATTTCCAGTATTAGGTGTTTTAGGGGTCACAGGAAGAGTAGATTGATAATGAATATTCTTATGCGACGTTACTATACCAAGATCCAATCCAGGACTTGTTCCCGAATCCAAGGAGGTCTCGTACCATTCTTTCTCTCTTCCTTTACGACTGACGTTGTCCGTTGTGTCCTTGCCATCGTGCAATTCGTGCAGATGATTCGAATGCCATTTTTCCACGCTGCCCAATGATTGCGTGCGAAGCAACATTTTACTGTTTGTCGATGATTGCTCAGACAGGGGAAGTAAATGAACGGAAGCATTTTGATGAGGTGGGAGGAGAGGAGAATTTTTATTGCATCCTATGGATACCGTGCGATACCGTGGTTGTATGTCGGCGCTTATGCTGACGGTGTGTTGCACCGCGTTACGCTTCCTTCGATCTAGGCTACCAAATCTATCTGTAACTGGTTGATCGTCCGTGCACCAGACAATCTTGTCTTCGTGTCGCCTCCAATAACCCGTTGGTAATTGCGTCTCACTGGGTGAATCCGTGTATCGTAGATTTTTACTGCCACTGGAATCACGGTCCCGTCTTAACAAGGACTGTGGCTGAGAGTTACTTTTATGATACACTGGAAAGTCTCTGTCGTAATATTCCTGACCAGATCTTCGTTGAACATCGTTGTCCAAGTGTTTGTACTCGGTATATTGTTGATAATTATGTATTGGTTCCTGAAGTTGTTGTTGGAGCTGGCGACATCGTATTTGTCGTTCTTCCTCGGTATACGTATTCGGTAGAGGACGATACAGTCGTTCGTTTTCTTGATAGTGATTCTGACTGCGCAAACCACCGCTTCGTAATATGTAAATATTTTGATTATCGTTGTGATCGTGGTCTATTATCTTAATGTTTTGTCGCTGGTCAGATATCGCGGGACAATATGCACCAACATGATTGTGGTTACAAGGACTCGGTATTAGCGGCTGTTCGTCGTATCCGTGACCAGGATACACGTTGCATTTATCTTCTGATCCTAATGGACTTAAGCTTATTCCACCCTCTTGAAGCAAGCTCCTCGTGACTTTGGGATTTGCGTCGTTTACTATAAATTGCATTAAAAAATCCATTAAAAATAAAAATTGTGTTACTTCAGGGCTTGATGTAATCATTTGTTTTTAAGTGCAAATATTTTAAAATACCTGTGCCATTTAATGGTGGTCGTGGCTTTTTTGTCCTATGCTTTACATTTGTGTATAAATGTGGCTGATTGTTGTAAACTGGAGGATGTTGAAGCTGTGTCGGAAGATGCGACTTGCTACGACTCTGCCTTATGAAATTCAATTTTGCCTCTAATTCTTGTACTATTTGCTGACTTCGTTGATAAACTTGCCTTTGTTTACGACGTACTGCTTTACTCTCTGCAGGATTGTTTACTTTTCCTAGCGCATCTTCCACTATACCAATATGATATTGTCGTTCTGCTTCTAATTTAGATTCCTCCTACACAAGAGAAGAAATAATTCTTTTATTACACAATACATCCATAATTATTAACTAATTAGTTAATAATTAAATGAAATTATGAAACATACGACTTCGTTTGTCTTCAGTTTGTTAATTAAATTCTGTGGGTATGTAAATGCAGTCCCAACTCTTCTTCGAAATCTTGGTGGGCTCTCTCCAGCCTCCAGTGGAATCTCTGGTGGTAAAACACCGGTCAATTCTGCTTCCTCGACACATAAGTTTTTCAGTTCATTATTCTTTTGACTTAATTTTTCTTGCAATGCTTCACGACGTTGGCGTAGCCATTGCAATCTTGTAGATAATGAATCTTCCGCCAAAGATCCAGGGGCATTTTCGTTCCCTGCCATCACTTAAAATAATATGAACAAACTTGTAACAAATTATATGCAATAATCAAGATTTATAGAGATACTATACACTTTACTGACTTACCCATATTATTGGCAAGGTATAACGATTATTTTCGCTACACGTACTTGAATTGGAATGTTTATATAATCAAGGTGTATCTCACACATTTAAAAATATTGACATTGACACATTTAACAACTGACACATAATGCAATGTATGACATTCCGTTGACTCGTATCAATCAGTATAATTATCTTTGAAAAGACACTTTCCGTCATTTTTAAACTTTCCTACGTTACAAACTGTATAAAAATCGAAAAGAGTTGTTAATAGGTTAGCTGCTAGAGTTACATATTTTTTCTATCACAGTATAATAATTAATTTTACAACTTAATTTATTAATTCTAATAGAAAATCTCCTAGAATAAAGAAACTAAGCGTTAAACAAACATTATTACATAATTCTAGTGGGATGAACGACAAAAACACAAACGAAGATAACGAATAATGACGCGCTATCATTTTCCTTGTGAAGCTGCCATTTTAGATTCAACTCAATAAACTACAGAACAATACCATGTAAACGGATTTTATTTTCTATTTAAGAAAGTGTCATGTTATATTTAATAGAATTAATAAAATATTCATTTGGAATACAAGTTCCTCAATCATTTACATTATTTTTTGTTCCAAAACAACAATTATAAACAAGTTAAAAAGTCATCAACAACCTACATAAGACTATACATCATCAAGTGAGATGAATTCTAACACTGAACTATAGTTCAGTATATTTCATTAATACGATTCGTTTCTACATAACATTACAGTATATTAGTTAATATATGAAATTTATCATTTTCATGAATAATTGCTTCTTTCTCCACTGACTAGTCAAACCAAAACTCAAATACAGAAAGTATTAATAACGATATATTTTCTATAATAAAATTCTTAGATTATTATTTGATTACGATTTTTAATTTAAAAACGGAGTAAATGATACAATTACAGTTGCAATTTTATCCAACATAGTCGTTGCGCAATCGAGTACGCGGCAACTTCGAAATGACTAAAAAGTTACTAAAAGTTGCCGCAAAACAGTGAGACCTATGCGCCTACGAGATGATAACCAGAACGACAAGCACGCCAGTATTAATTGCCGCATACTGGGGGCACGACTGCGCCTACGAGATGGCAACCGAGCCGATAAGGCTGCTTACCTAGGTTGCCGCATAACAGGGGCACTCCTGCGCC